CCGGAGCTTATAAATTGCGCGGGTCTGTTCCTTTGTCTTATACTAGAGCGCGGGAGATAGTGCTTAGCGCTTTCGATTCCATCGGCCTTCCCAAGCAAGACTACGGTCTCCATAGCCTTAGGGCCGGAGGCGCCTCCGCTGCTGCTAATGCTCGAGTGCCTGACAGATTGTTTAAAAGACACGGCCGTTGGAAATCAGACAAGGCAAAAGACGGTTACATTAAGGATAGTGTTCATTCATTGTTGTCGGTTTCATTATCACTGGGTATTTAATTTTCCGTATTTCCCGTTCTTTTAGTTCGCACACGGCTCGTGTTGACACACCCCAATTGAGGTTGCTTGTTACATGATAAATGTTTTATATTCGTTTGAGCGGGGTAGCGAATTAGAATATAAATGTATTTATCATGGGTTATGTAACCTTTTCTTTGGGGTGTTACATGGTATGCTGTTCTGTTGCTTCATTAGCGGTAGGCTATATATTTGAGTTGTTCTCATTTATATTCATTCGCGTCTTACGACCGTCCCTACGCCCTCAAAATTAAATACCCAGTGACCAGGGGTTTCTCTTAGACGTAGTTTTTTTGCATGCTGCTATATGAAAAGTTTAGCACGTTTTGTATGAATCATTGTTATACAAGCATAGTTTAGATCATTTTGTTGGGTTGTTTTCCTTGCTGTAATTTTTTACATTTCCGAGTTTTCATTCTGTTTGTTGTGTTATTTCCATCCATTCTGTTGATGAAGGCATAATAAAGAGGGTCGCACACGGCTCGTGTTGACACACCCCAATTGAGGTTGCTTGTTACATGATAAATGTTTTATATTCGTTTGAGCGGGGTAGCGAATTAGAATATAACAGATCTTAACTTCCCGTTTCTCTTTTCTGTAAACGGTTTATCCCAGGGAGTAATGAAAGGGTTAACAACTTCTTTTCATTTCTCATTTTTTTTTATTGTTCGTGTACGCACGACTGTCATCAAGAAATTTCATAAAAACAAGCTTCGCCTTACGTGACTTCAAATCTGCACAGTGATTGGATAATTGCTGGCTTTCAGTGTCACGCCATTCAAAATAGATCAAAATAAAAATCAAAACCGTTCAATAGATAAAGTCCAGAATCTGGGAAATGAAAGGAGGTACATATACAAAGACCCTCGCCAAGATTCAAGTCAGAGGCATATTTCGTATACGAGATATCCGAAGAAATGTTTTACCCAAACTATGGAGACGCCATGCTGGTGTTCACCTGGATAAGCACCAACATGGCGGACGGAAACCATCAGAAACATCTGTTACCGAGTTTTGCTGCAAAAGCGCGAATTTATTCTTCGGGAAACTCATAAAATATAATTATTCTTCGGGAAACTCACCGCGTCACGCAAAAGCTTAGAAATTCAAGCGTACTCTATCACAAAACCAAGAACCCTTTTGAAGCGAAAATTTGTATGAAAATTAGTTTTCAGCTGCTCTAATGCATCGTGAAAGTAAAATCTCGGTAGGATCGATAGGTTTTTAGTTTGAATTTTAGTGACGTCATGCGAAAACCAACAATAGCTTGTTTTGGTTCGTGGATCAAAACATTACCAAAAGTGGAAAAGCTCTGGACTGACCTGGTCTTATTGGTTTTGGATTTATGTTTGATTAACAATGTGGCGCGTGATTTTTTTAAGCCAGTCACAAGACAACGTAACAATAAAGTGATTACAGGATTATATCAATTTTCAAAGTGAAAATCATTCTAATAGAGGCTTTGTTCAATCTTCAGGTCCCCCTTACATCATGTCTGCCGAACCAGACCACTCTTGCCTATTCCAATCAGTTAATGAACGACCTGAACAGATCAAGGCAGAGATAAGAGGTGACCTCCCCTCCTGGCTCAAGGGTACCTTGATAAGGAATGGACCTGGTAAATTTGAGTGCGGTGACATCCCATTTAATCATTGGTTTGATGGTCAAGGACTTTTGCACCGCTTCCATATAGCAGACGGTCACGTGATGTACAGTAACAAGTTCGTTCGAAGCGAAAGTTATGCAGACTCGATAAGTCATGGAGATTCGTATCATGTAGAGTTTGGAACATATATTCCCCCAGACCCTTGCAAGAACATCTTTGCTCGCTTTTTCTCGTTCTTTTGGGCAAGCGACCTTCCCGCAGACAACACTCTTGTCAACGTGTTTATGATGAAAGATAAGATGTATGCAACAACGGAATCCAACTTTTTGTATGAGATCGATCCAAAGACCCTGGACACGTTAAAGAGGGTGGACATCACCACTGAATTTCAAGGTAACTAAATCCTTCGTTAGTTCTCCAGCCCTGAGGCTTACGATCGGATGACAGAAAGCTGTGAATGTCTACTGAAAAGACTAAGGTTTTCCTGCCCCCTCACTCTATTCTCCTAAATAGGTAGCGTGTTCTCTGTTCATAAGCACTAATTGATTTAGTCTCGAATTCGGTCCACTCTCTAGAGTCCGGTCTTTTCCTTCCCGAGAAGTCTGCGTGGGCGGAGCTGAACAGTGTTTAGCACGCTTTGGGGCTGAGCTGTGGATTGAGATACCCTGTGATATCAGACATCTCCCCAAAAATAAATTCAAAACAACACTCCGCAAATTACTCTTTCATATTTTTAATTCAGAAGATGACTACAGTATTGATACGCCCACCTAAATTAAAAAGAAAAAGTTAGCCAAAAATGTCGAAATTTAAATTCTTGCTTATTAGTTTCTACTTTTACAATTTATTTTGTTTAGTTCTTTCTTTTTTATTTTGTTAACTAGTCCTCATCCATATTTCGACTTTTATTTCGTTTATTTGTAAACTGTAAACTTTCCTTAGTTAGCCTTCATCTTAATTTCATACTTTGCACACACTGACACTGTCCCGCTTCGAATAGCCTTGCTATCCGCGGGTAGTGCTTCTGTAATATTATCTGTTTATTAATAAAGTTTTTTTTTTTGTTGTTGTTGTTTTTGTTAGCGCGGTCTCAATTCCCGAACAACGGCTGGTAATTGAGAGCCTGTGACCTGCGAGTCTCACATTGCTCATACTGCATGACTCCCACTGTTTTTTACCCTGACCTGTGTTGCTCGGTGATTTTATTCAGTAGCTTTTGGTGTCAGTTTGTTTGTTACTCTGTACATGTATTTGTCAAAGCTAAACCTGTTTGCAGTAGTGACGAATTTACCGCTTGTGGCTTCGTGTTTCCTTGGAGTATGGGCTAAATTAGATGTTACTTGCTCATTTCCTGCCCCACGTCAAAGTGTTTTAAGAGCCTTGATATACATATTAGGCGAGGAGTGACTTTTCTCCATTCAATTATCGCGGCAAAACGTTGTTACGTGTCCATTAGATCATTGCTCTGTTTTTCTCTTTCCTGGCAGGTGAAGTTACAATAAATTCGGCCACTGCTCATCCGCACCAGACCTCCGACGGTTCAGTCATCAATATCTCCACCACATATGGCCGAGACTCCACTTACAAAATCATCCAAATACCGCCCTCCTCGGGAAAAGCAGATGAGAAGCCTCTGGAAGGTGGTAAAGTTCTTTGCACCATTTCCGCTACAAGTGGGCTAGGGTACTTTCATAGCTTCTGCCTCACCGATAATTACGTTGTTGTGACCGAACAACCGCTTATGATCAACATATGGAGAGCTCTTACCCGCAGATTCTTCTCATCATGGTTTGAAAATTGGCTTTACTGGGATGCAAACCAGCTGGTCAGATTCCATATTATCGACAGGAAAGATGGCAACCGTGTGGGTGTCTTCACAGCGGAACCATTTTTCGTTTTCCATCACATCAACGCGTTCGAAAGAGATGAGAAGATCTATCTTGATGCCTGCTGTTACCATGACAACTCGATTATAAAACAGTTGTACCTTAAAAACTTGCGCTCACCTGCAGAACCAGGTCAGAAGAAGTTGGATGTCCCTGATGTACGTCGTTATGAAATTCCATTGGGGGAACTTTATGACGCTGACACAGAGAAACCACTGCATAAGGGGAGTGATGGGCTGGATTATTCCTCACTGTACTCAGGAATTGAGTTGCCCAGAATAAATTACGAGGAATTTAACGGTAAACCTTACAGGTGAGTCTTTGTTTGCTACTTCCATTCCACGATAATTTGATTTCTCAAGGGGTGTAAGGTTGGCGGCGTTTCTGATGGAGGGTAAACATACCTTACATTATACGTTTGGAATAAATGTACGCGAAAAAAATTAAAGTTAAAAATTAAAGTTTTTGATAGTTCAATATTAATTTTGGGCATTTAGAATAATGTTTTCCGTTATATATTTTTTTATCGAAGTACAATGGACACTCTATTGAAAGGTGAAATGTTAGAAATATTTAATATGTGTGAGAAAAATGTTATTGCTTGATTTATTTTCATAATACCACCGCCTATTTGTCGATTATTGAAGATTTTTGGAAAAGTGGTCACGTGACATATCACGTGACTTGTTAACACAATACTATATTTGTACTTGAAAATGTTAAGGATGACGAGTTCTTTATTTGTGCCAAATTTTGAGTCAGCTGCCTAAGTTATAACCAATAAATCGTTTTCCACAGTTAAACCCGTAAGACCCAGCGTCCTCTTGAGTCAAAGCTGACCTGATCCGTTCTTGAGTCGTGACTTAAAGAATCACTCAGCCTTCTATTGTTCAGAATTTCCTTTCCTGCCGACCGCAAGAGAGTTTGCCATAATTTCAGCAGTCTTTTCCCATGAGTCTTCCATTCTTCAAGAGGAATTTGGATTTGCGAAATAGTTGTTTAATTTCTATCAGTAACACATTCACTTTTTTCGTGTCAAATAACTGCAGGATATTATTTCCTATGTTTGAAGTAGACTAATCAAAACATATGACGCGTGTGCAAATCCTCCTTAGAAAATTTTTGTTTTTGTTTCGTTAAAAAAAATATATGTGTATTTTAAATAAGTAATTATCGTTTCGATCCCCTTTAGGGACTTGTCAGGGATAAGAAAACACAAGTAAACATTTGAACCAAAATAAACACAAATTGTGTGAAAAATTCTTACCTAACAGGAGACGATCCTGAGTTGGCTATTTACAGCTGACAAGCGTGGCTAAGGAGGTAAACTCACCACATCAGAGGAGACCTCGCACCTCTGTAGAGGGAGGATTTCAACTAGGGCGAGGCATTGCCTTAAACGTTTTGGCCAGACAAGGAGAGAAATATATAGCAACAGGTTTTTTGTAACTGTGATCGATTGGAACAGAAGCAGATTGTTTGAACGTTCTTCAATGATTTCGTTGTGAGATACGCTATACTTTTGAAACAGTAAGACTTAGCTTTTCCGTTTTTACGTTTTCAGGTTTGTGTATGGAGTGGCATCGTCCACCCATACGACGTTTCGAAAACTGATCAAACTTAATGTTGAGACCAGGAAATTTGTGGAATGGCAGGAGTCGGGTGCCTATCCATCTGAGCCTGTGTTTGTCAAAGCGCCTGATGGGAAGGCAGAGGATGACGGTGTCATCTTGTCATGCGTGATCAACCCTAAGGACCAGACCACGTCTCTGGTGGTGCTAGATGCGAAAGAACTTAAGGAACTTGGTCGAGGTGTGATTCAAGGAGTTACTCCAGCCAATTTCCATGGCTTATTTCAGTAACAAATGTAACAACTCTATACTTTGAATTCCTCAAATTATAGATCACAGTAGTGTTATTTATGACGCCTGCTCATTTAATAATACAGGGAACTGGACTTGTCATGCTCAACAGAAATAGCAATAGCTGCGCCGGATTTTGCAACAGGGAGACTTTAGCCACCTAAAAAGAAGGAGAAAATGTCTTATTATTTTTACCGCCTTCCCAGAGAAACCTGGCGCTTTTTACTGAGCTTGATAATTTTTCGTATAACTGATCAGCTGACTGATGGGTTGAGCCAATAATTTTAGTTTCACGTGTTAGTTTTTTGTCGATGGATCGGCCCGAAAGTGAAGTAGGGTATAAGAATTAACGAAAGCAACTCGCCTGACTCAGAGAAGAAGGCGCGCGTGATCGCAAGTTAAGTGATTGTCTAACGTCCTGCCAGTTCATGACGCTTTTACTATATCGATCGTATTCAATTCTGGACTCTGCCAACATTATTACTACTGAACTAGTGGACACTAAACGCCCCTTAATCGGACTTCAGGATCTTATAACGAATGACGACTGATGCACAACAGTCGGCTACGAAAAGTGTGAAGTAAACTGAAATGCTTATAATAAGAGGTACGATTTATCACAGGTGATTGGCTGCGCAGAAGGATTTCGGCTGGAAAATCTTTGGGAGGGCGCGATTACCTGCTTTGTTTAGCAATTAAACATGACCTTTTTTAAAAGAAAATTAAACTCCCCTTGTTCAACCGGATTCTGAAGACCAAAATGTTGTTTCATTTACTGATCACGAGAAGATAATTTATGCTTAAAATAAAACGCTAAAAATCTGATGTTTCAAGCCAAAATATGCGAGCTTTTGATTCTTTCAGGGGGTTAATTTAATGCTTGCCTCTCAGGCTCCGTGGATCATTATTTGTTTTCAGTACCGTGATTTATACTTTTACGTGGACGAATCAATACTAAAACACACTGCTGCCAATACAATTAATCGACGCGATAATATAACGGTATAAAGGAAATGCGCGATGTTCTGGTAACAGGACTGAGTGGAGTCCAATTCGGTCTGTAATCATACGAGTGATTAACAAAATCGGAGACCGCACCGCGTAGCGGCGGGCAATCCGATTTTTTTAATCACGAGTATGATTCACAGACCGAATTGGACGATACGAAGTTCTGTTACTAATTCAGATTATAACTTTAACAAAATTTGTGATGTAAAAGGCTCTTTTTTAAAATCAAAACACAAGAAATTTCGAGATTTTTTTTGCTAGCAGTGAAAAAAAGCCATTAAAACGCGCGCGTGATGGCGTTTACTGTCCAATTACTTAGGCATGAAGCGTGTTGTCCTATTAAGGCTGAAATCAGGGCAGATAGCCAATCAGATATGAGAATTTTGTTATAGTTATGATTAATGAAAAACTTGTGTGGGTTTGTTTTGGCACTCGGTACTGTATTACCATAGCAATGGTGTAACCATTTACAAATCCGTTCTTGAAACACGTCAATGAAAAATATTTTTAGTTTTATATTGGCGATGTGCCGGATAATTAAAGTGGGGGTGGGTGGATTCAGTCACCTTGCTTTTAAAAAAATTAAGGTGGTTCTGAACAGCCGTTTTCCTCCTGCCACCGACATCTGTATCAGAAAACAAGAAGACCCTCGGGACGAGTGGAGCCCTATAACTCGTACGGTCAAACCTCTTTAATACCACACCAAAGGGACAGAACCAAGTGTCCGCTTTACAGAGATGTCGGTATTATAGAGGTAGGAAATGTATGATTTTTGGCATTTCTGGGACCAAACGAACTGTCCGTAATAGAGAGGTGTCCGTATTATAGAGGTGTCCGTAAAGAGCGGTTAGACTGTAGTTGCCAGTTGAACACTTAAAACGTTTTCAAAGTAGTCAGTATAAAATTTCTTTGTGTAACGATGTCAATTAAAAAATCATTTGGAAAGGCAGGAAGAACGTCTCAAACGATAGAATTAGACAATACACGCATCTTAATATGCACATTTATATTTAGCTGTCATTGTTAACCCAACAATATAAATAACGCATAGCAATTAAATTCTCGGTCTTCAGCCCTACAGGATCCCAGGTGTGCTGTGTAATGAACGCATGACGACAACGTGGCCTGTAAACTTTATAAATAACGATTTTATCATCTCCGCTGTGACATCCGGCTGTATGCTGTATCATCACACGCAGTTCACGCTGAATTTATCGCCTCAAAACTTACAAAATAACAAACAACCAACGAGTATTACATGACGCTACACACGCAACCTTTGAGGTCAGATCTTTTGTTACTCGTTGGTGGTCTTAATCCGTTGATAATAGCTTCATCGAAAACGGATTTCATGTTTTTTTGAGTGACCGCCGAAGTTTCAATATAGCAGACGATTCCAGCCTTTTTCACAAAGCTCTCGGCTTTCTGACCCGTAATAGGCTCTTGTCCAAGTTTCGAGAGTCGTATTAACTCTTGTACATCTGTCCTCAAGTCACAATGCGTCCCAACAAGAACGACAGGCACAGTTCTCGAATATTTACGTATTTCTGGGAGCCATTTTTGTGAAACGTTTGCGAAAGATGTCGGAGAAACCACAGAAAAACAAATAATAAACACATCAGTAGAAGGATAACACAGAGGCCTCAAAGCATCGAAGTCCTCCTAAAAAAAACAGAACAAACAACTTAATACTCTTTAACGAGCGAGTACAATTTTTTAACACCATCATATGTGAATGTAAACAACAAAACTTGTACATCGACGCTCATAAGTGAGAATTTTGGAGGATGGAACGGCACACACGAGCCATAATTATAAGCTTAGGTTTATGAGCTGCTTTATTTTAATTGCGTCTTTACTCGCCCAGCTGCCTGTTTAATTGAGCGTTAAATTCATTTTTAACAAACAATATGCTTTACACAAGCAAAAAGAATATTTTCATTACTAAAACTTCGAACTTAATTTTGGACTTGACAACTCTATATAAATTTCGTAAGCTTTGCGCTCAGAAAATATTAATCATAAAGACAAGCTTTATCGACTCACCTTGCGTGATAAATAATAACCTCTAAAAATAATAACGTAGAAATAATTCATAACAAAATTTGCTGCGTAAAACGAAAGAAAAACAATGAAGACTTGCCTGGCCTGCTGTATCGCAAAATTGCAATGTATACGGCACCTTGTCGACTTTAACTGTTACTAAAATAAAACAAAATAAATAATAAATGAATTGAGGATTCTTTCAACCGCAGGAATGGACATAAAATAATTCTTTGTGTGCTTTTACTTACCGCTATAATCGTCGAAAGCTGTGGGAATATAGTTATTAGGAAATCCGTTCGTCAAGTAGCTAACCAGAAGCGATGTCTTGCCTACCCCGCCATCGCCAACTAAAACACATTTCACAACCCTATTTTCGGGCTCTTCGACAAGCAGTTTCCTTTCGTTGTTCTTCATTTTATTCTTTCACAGCATGGACCCTATTTGGCGTCATAAAGTACACATCCTCGATACTCTTCACTGTTTGACACGGAAACTACTGTATTATCGGTAACTATCACACAGGAAAAACTGTGGTCGACCTTTAATCTTGTTTACCGGAAATGATGTCAGTGGTTGCATGTGCCTTGATTGGTTTGTCACGGATAACGAACGACTTCCTGAATTTCTGGTCTAGATCAGCAGTAGATAAAACACGTATTTGTTTTTCTTCACAACAACTGGACAAATTTTAGTTAACAAATTATATTGTTTGTAAACAAATTGATGCAGTATCCCATTTAGCATTGCCAGTTCAAAAGAGGGTTGGAGCGCATTCTACCATTCTTTTTAGAGACGTTTTACAGACGTGCAATCTGAGTTTGGCTAAGAAACTTAAGAGGAACTGCAAGAGTTACCAAAGAGCGCCACCAATATGGACTATTAGCTAGCAATCAACTTCCAATATCAGCGACTACAGAAGAAAATTCTTTAGTCTGCTTGGTTATTAACGGCCCTGATTTTAGCATTGATTATATTATTCTGGGCCCAGTTCGGTCTGAAATCAGCGCTGATAAATCGGCCGAAATGGATCGACGAATTTTCCTGTAGTTCACAATATATATATATATATATTTCTAAAGATTTTAAAGAAAAATGATTTTGTTGCCTGATTACAGACCGAACTGTTCTTACTTGGCGCTACTTTCAATACTCAGCGGATGGAAAGGGAGAATAAAAGGACTGACAAGTTAATAGGTAAATCCGGCAATGGTCCTGGATGCAATGGAAAGGAAGACGCAAAGTTTGGGCGGGGACAGATAGATGCCCTTATCTGATCTGGAAGCCTTTTGAGCCATACTTTTGTTTCTGATTTCTGAAGGACTGTGAGTCACTGTCAGTTTATAGCCCAAGAAGTGAGGTATCACGTGATACTTACATGCTTACATTTTTCCTCAAGGATAGCAGAGCGAGCGAAACGCGAGCGCGCGTGAAAATCACCCCACGCGTGTCGCCTTTTCTCGCGTGGCGTGAATTTCACGCCCGCTCGCGTTTCGCTCGCTCTACTATCCCTGAGGACAAATAGGGGACTACTCGTAGTCTATTTAAAAGACCGAGTGCAAGTCTTAAAGGGCGAAAAAAAAAAAAAAAAAAAAGAAAATAGCGACAAAGAAATGTTTTCTTGGCGTCGCCATTTCAGCATTTCGCTTGTTTAGAACGTTCAGCACTTACTATGCCCTTTGGGTCTTCGAAAATGGAACATACGATTGGTCAGAGTAAGACATTGTCCCAAGGGGCTCTCCCCCCAGTCCTATTATTTATCGCCCGTTTAACTGTGCCCTCACTCTCTAGTATCTACCCCTGGTTATTATCACTTTGTTATTTAACATTGCAACATTGAAGCCAACCTCGGTCCGATCGTCTACTCTTCAGTGGCCGACCCCGCGCCGTCACATTGACTATGAAGACAAAGGCCCCTAAAAATGGGTAGTGTTAATTTTTACCGAATTTTTTAGATAGTTAAAGCTAACAATAAAAACATGTTTCGAATTCACCGTAGACGAATCTTTCGTTTGAAATTTTTCAAGTATTTTCACCCTTGTAAACATATTGAACAAGAACATGTTAATAAACGACCTTAATAGGCTATTTTTACGATGACGACATTACTTTTTGAAATTTGTCAGTCCCGCTGAGGTTTGTCAGTTTTAAAAGATAATAGCCCAAATTTGCACAAGAAAACAACAAACTGAACGATTCTGGCAGCTATAGTAAAATGACGTCATCGTAAATTGTTCAGTTATTATTAATTATTTCCTAAAGGTTTCACACAGACAAAAGACGGTCAAAATTCTTTCCTAACTAAACAAGGTTATTTTCACCTCACTTCAAATTTAGAAACAGGCCCACCTTGGGTGCCAGAGACTTTTCATGCGCGGTTTCTGGTTTCGGTCGTCTTCGATAGTAGGCTGATTTAGCAACAGGACGGGAACGTCAGTTGACAACGGCGCGCGCAAATCAAACAACTGTTGACCAATGGCAGAGCGGCAAATTAGGCACCGGAAGTCGTGTTTTAGTCCTTTCCGCGCGCTTTCCCGTCGCCAACTGACGTTCCCGTCCTGTTGCTAAGAAACAACGACGGCGACGTCAAGGAGAACGTCATAAAAGCAATAGGTTTAATGAGCAAAACAACAACTCTACACGTGCATCACGCTTTTTGTACATTTCTTTGCTGTCCCTGCTAAACTACGACGTTTACTTGAGAGCAGTAACGGGAAGGCGATAAATTCTACCATCTCTGTCTGAACTCGTGCGCGCTTCCCTCTCTTTATCTTCAACCAAAATTCCCTTCTTTTAAGTAACAAGGCGAATTGGGATAGTCGCGAAAAAGCTTTAAAAGGATGCATAATCTATTTTTCTTCGACGTCATGGACCTCGTCGTTGTCAGATCGATCGTAAGGTCAATAATCAGCCTAGTGACCCGCGCGGTCTAGGCAAATAGGTAAATTCGCCCGTTCCCCGAAACTTGTTTTTGCCTTGTCAGGCCGAGTTTTGGAAGTTTGATTTGTACACTTATTCACGTCGTCCTGGATTTGCCACCGCGGGAATAACATTTTGATTCCAGGCAATTTGAAAACGAAGAAGGAATTCACGTCAAAAGACCAATAAACGTTGATTCGAGTTTTTATTTTTCTTGCGCTCCGTGAAAGGTTTTATACGTATACGTTTTCTTCCTTACATAAAATAATTAGTAGTTATTAAAAATGTTGGGTGTGCACGTACTAGTCAGTTCTACCTTGTGAGACTTCGCCCATATTAATCGTTTGAGTGGCCCAACCCACAGTGTGAAGCAAATGTCGACAAAACACACGATTCTTTTTCAGACATTTTGCTTTCTCAAATCCTCTCATTAAGTTCCCTGACCTTTTTTCACATTGATAGCTGTACGTGCATCACATCGACTCCAGTCAGTTGCATTTCAAATTTCAGTCCGGTTCTGCCTTAATTTTTAAAGATTTTCCAGTCGTTGCCGTCTTTTCTGAGAGAAATTTAGACACCAGATCATAAACAAAGAAAATGATTCCGTTGGTGGGAAAGGCTCGCAAAAGTGTTGGTCCAAGACCAGTAAAGAACCCTCTAAAGCCTCCTGTTCTATAGCTTTTAATTAAACAGTCAGTAAATCCTTTGTATAAATATTTTCCGTCACTGCCATCAGCTTGCATCTTTGACTTAACCACATCGCACGGAAATGTTGAAGTCCAGGAAATCATTCCCGCTAAACCACCCGCGATTATTGGAGCCAGAGGCCCTACATTACCACGTGATTCCGGCGCAGACAGTATATCGAGAAGGATTTCGTATGAGGCGAAGTACACCATAAAACCAGGAATATCTCGAATAACAAGTGGAGACATGCCTTGGAAAATCCCTCTGCTTCCGGTTGTTTTGTAAATTTTGCGAATGCAGTCTAAGCTTCCACGGTATAGTGACGAATTGGATCGTTTTGCTGCAAAGTGGAAGAAATAATAATAAAAATAAGTCTACGGCGCGAAAATGGTGAGAATAAAGAGAGTGAAACTGAAAAGAAAGAGCGGGAAATCATCTCACGCGAGGAGATGCGACGCGAGCAGGCTATTAACGCGAGAAAAGAAGAAAGAGATGAATGAGTAATCGCAGCCTTAATATAAAGAACACTTTTCTTAAAGAGGCTACGTCACGCTATTGGTTATTTTTTTACACAGCTAAAACATTTCTGCACAATTGAATTCCAACAATAAATGGTCCAGTTTTGTTAAGTCATGCTATATTTACTGGGCATTGGAACTGTTTCCTGTCGTCTGTTGCTAGAGATGGAAAGGATGGACATGGATTGAAACTTGAAAACATTGGGCCAATTTTATTGCTATGCCCGAAAAATTACCAAAACATAAGTTATAAAGTATAGTCATTGCTCTCTGATGAATTTTTTTTGATATCTTCTCCATAACCGCTCTACAGGAACATTTTATAAATGGGTAGAAGCTGATAAATTATTAAGTAATGACCTCAGCAAAGAATTGACCTAAAACAGCAATATTTATACATACATGTAGCCCTTTTAACTAGAGCTTTCTGGAATTTTCTGAAATTAATAAAAGTTACTTACGGCTATTCCAAATATTAACATTCCACTACGTGCTTCTGCCGCAATGGGCTGAGTACACGTGCAGTGTTGATGGGCACGTGCGATGTAAACTGACGTGCACGCGACCGCCGTATGCTAGTATGAGATGTATCACGCCAATAATTATAACAACGAAGTCAATTTTAACTCGTGCTCACAGTATCGTCTTCAGTTGTTTTTTTCTATATCTAGACGAAAACTCTTGAAAAGTAAAATGCGCTTAGTATCGTATCATGACACAGTAAACGAAGTTTTTAAACGAAGTTTGTTGAAATTTGATCGTCCGGGTGAGAGTAAACCTGAAAAGTAATGTTATTTGACAGTCGTTTCCACAACTTGGACGGTGGTCGTGTTCAGATCTCATCAGTTCATGGTATTTAAGTCTGGTCATTGATCTGAATAGTCAATGAGGTTGCAAAGTTACTTTCCCACTCCATAACCATGGACCTAACACTTAAATCAATGTGACGGGGAGAAATTACTTTGTAACAACTTTTGGAGTTCATATCACGCTGCTGTAACGTACGGAAGCATTAGCCACCAAAAATACCGCCAGGATATGGTTAAAATCCTTTATGAAATCCTGGGCGTGACTTCTGTGAGAAAAAGGCAGGAATGCCCCTCGAAAAATAGAAGAGGCTCGATCATGGCTTTGCTTTACAATACTCGTCACATTATTTTGTTCATGAAGCACTTTAAGCCCTCCTGAATGATGATTTAAACATTGGGGAAGGTCAAGGGCGGAGGGAGGAGGGGTTGGTTTGTCGAGCTCTTACATCAGTGGAGGGGTATAAAAAGCTTGTACAGCTGTATAGACTGTTCAGTGTATAAGAATAAATTTTTACAATACGCAGTACAAAAATAAACTAAGCAAATTACACTTACACTGTGTTTGCATCTGTAGTTTAATCTTGACAAGTTCCATAGGACACACGACCCACAGCTGGGCTGCACCAGAGGCAGCAGCGGCAACAGAGATGTGAGACAAGGATGGCTTTTCACCCTGCTTGGAAGATAATAAGTTTAAAACATTCCCATACATGCCAAATAATACAGCATTCTGTAATGCCACAGCTGCTAGTGGAGGGGCCATGCCTTTAAATAAGCCAAACACCTGTGAAAGGTACAATGTGAAGAGTTAAATTCACTGTGTTCAAAAATTGCCGTGTATGGAGAAGCAACTGTTAATTATAATTGTTTGTTTAAATGATCATCAAAACTTCAAAAAACAATGTGCCTCTGCTTCCGGTTTTAGACATGCTCATGATTGATAGCTAGGAGATACTGCATGAATAATGAATGAACACGTGTCTTTTCAGAGTGTAATGCATTGCGAACAGGGGTCAATTTTATTTTTCAATAATAAAACTTTTACAAGTGTAGTTTACAAGTGTAGCTATAATATTTGTTTTAGAGTCTGAAAACAATAGCTACACTTGTAAATTACACTTGCAAATTAGTTTTATTAAATTGGCCGTATTCATGTTGATGTTTTATCATGTCAAGCTAAAACCTTAGCGTTAGCGTTCAACCATCGACTCACCGACAAAGGAAGTTACACATAGTTTAATTTGCTTTGGTTTGAGCCAAAAGACATGCAACTCAAGTTAAATCAAATGCACATCTCATTAAAAATTGATTTATTGCATTTTAGTATCCCAGATCACCCTTGTTACAGTTTGACAAATAAGTTTTCTATGAAGCAAGCCAGGAAAGGCTATCCGTCTGTTACTGCTAAAATTGTATAATTTTTGTCCAAACAGTAATGCAATGTTTCCCATGCCAAATTTGTATCTTTAAGACAGAGCCAAATTTGCCTTTTGCAATTAAAAGTGGCTTATGAGTTCAGCCTCACATATCATTTTATCCTGCTGAGGACAATAACCGGCATAATCATAACTATAACAAAATTGTCAAATCTGATTGGCTATCAACTGCCCTGATTTCAGCCTTAATTGGACAGTTTAATAGGACAGTACGCGTCATGCCCTATAAGTAATTGGACAGTATGCGCCATCACGTGCGCGCTTAAATGGCTTTTTTTTTCACTGCTAGCAAAACAAAATTTCAAATTTCTTGTGTTTTGATTTAAAAAACAGCCTATTATATCACAAATTTTGTTAAAGTTATGATTAATTGGTAACAGAAATTCGTGTTGTCCAATTCGGTCTGTAATCATACTCGTGATTAAACAAATCGGACTCCCACTACGCGGTCGTCCAATTTTGTTAATCACTTGTATGATTACAGACCGAATTGGACTCCACTCAGTCCTGTTACCATTACATAGAGGCATAATTTTTCTATATTTACAACAACAACAACAACCTTTATTTGTACTTACTCTCTTGCTCAAAAAAATATTAAGGCAATGAAAATTAAAATTGGCTGCCTGGAAAAAACATAGGGGCTAGCAGAGCCACCCTTACCAAACCTACATATATGTGACATTATATGACATGTGACAATTATGTTCCAGGCAGCCAGTTGATCAGCATTAAATAGAAATAAATTAAAGGTCAGCAAGATAACGCCAACCACTGGCCGCTCTACTCACTGTTTCATGCTTGACAATGTTCATAAAGCAGGAAAAGGAATTGGCAGAAGACTGTTTGGTCCCAGTATTCAATACTTGCATTCTGACCTGTGAAAACAAACAAAAGTTTCTGGTGAAAGTCAGCACATCATGTACTGTACAGTAACTGCAATGTAGTTTGTACAGTATACTGTAAAATTCCGAAAAATAAGCCCCGGGGCTTATATTTTTCAAAGGCCCCTTTCTGAGGGGCTTATTTTTGGAGGGGCTTATCTATGGAGGGAAATTTGCGTTTCAAAATCCATTGGGCTAGCCTTATAGTTGAAAGTAAATTACCGTTTTTGCTTTGTTTTACTTTGTATTCGAGGGCAATTTCCAAGTACAAGCCCCTGGGGGGCTTATATTTGGAGGGGCGATTTAACGGAGGGTTTTTTACGTTACGAGTTTGGGGGGCTTATATTTGGAGGGGCTTATACATGGAGGGGCTTATTTTCGGAATTTTACGGTATATGACAATACTGTTAACTCAACTGGGGCCAACCATACTTTAAAAATAAAAGAATATCTCCTTTTTTATTAGCTCATGAATCGTCAAAGTCAAACATATTTATTGTGAATGTGATTCACATTACCTTAACTGTGTCCATTGGCTGTCCAACTACCACTCCAGCACATCCTAGACAAAGTTGTACAAATCAAAAATGCCAAGAAATGAAAATTAGCGTAAATTTCCCATCATTGAAATGTTCCATAGAAATAATTTTATTTTGTTGCAAGTGAACTGTGTGAAAGCCCAAGCTTCCAGTGGGTTTGTCTTTACCAAAGCCATTTTCCCCTTCTCTCTTAGGCCAAATCTGGGTTTAATAAAACGTACATTGTTGTATCAAAGCCATAGTTAACATCAAGTTGGAACTCTCAAATAAAGTCATTATTTTATTAAATTAATTTTTCTGTCCTTTGCACAGGTCAGTGGTACTGAATTTTAATTTCCTGTGCTAGCAGAGGCTACAACAACGACAACAACAATACCTTTATTCACCTTGTACTTAATTAATTACATACTCACGTGAAAGAGAAAAAAAATATATATTTATTTGTACTTAATAAGGCCTGGAGCTGAAATAATCCTAAGATTTTCTAGCCAGTTCTCCAGAATTTAAAGTTTTAGAGAATTGAGATAGAATTTATTTCTAAAGAAGCAGTTTTAAAATACAATGTATTAAGAAAGAAAGTGTATATGCTTAAGTTATGTTAACTATGTTGTTCTGACAGCAAATAAGGTTTCAATTGTTTTTGGAATTGGTATGTGTTTAGTTCTTTAAGAGTTATGGGAATTTTGTCCCAGATGGTACATGCAGCATATCCGATTGTTTGTTTCCCGTATTAGTTCGCACTTTTTTTAGGTAAAGATTCTGTTTCGATGCATATCTGGTATTGTATTTGTGGACATTACTGGCATATTGAAAATAGTTTGAGAACAGCTTTGGCAGGAGGCCTTTATGCCAGAGGTACGTGAATTTTAGAATCTGAAATCGATAAACATTATGTACCGTAAGAACGTCTAATAAATTTAGTAGGGGAAGTGCACTTTCTGTGTGTTCACCATACGTGGTGGCAAAGAAATGTACTTTCTCTCATTACTAATAAATGGAAATAAGCTGAGAAATTTTTTCTTAGTAATGAACCTTTCATTCTGTTTTCTGTTTCATTGATACTGCAAAATGAGGTTGAAAACTGTGTCTTCAAAGATTAAAATGCAACATGCCTGATTTATTTTAGTCTTGTGTTTCAAATTTCAGTTGCTGTAAACATACATGTATTTGGGGAATAATCTTTTTGATCATCAAGCATGACTGAAATTAAGTCACTGAGGTTTGACTGTACCATAACTCCCAACCCTATCCTAGAATTCCAAGTTCCAATTCCTATTCTACACAACTATACAATATTTATAACATTTTTAGTAATAATTTAAAGAAAAATATAATCTATTTTTTGAGGCCAGCTGCCCCCCACTGCCCCACCCCCCACCTTTTTTCAGGGTCTGGATGACCTGTACACCATAGTTTCCCCAACGGTATATCTCCATTTTTCTCCGTGTAGGTTAACTTATTCAACATCTGTTTATGTAAAACACTCTTAAAGAAACTGAAAAGTTTCACAACATAAGCTTACCAGCGAACCAACCAGCAATGAACTCTTGGGCGACCTCCATCCTTCCGAAAATAGCGGAAACAACGATTATTTTCCTTGATAGTAGGCTATATAAAGAATGATTATAGTTACTGGGCCGTCATATCAGTCATATGGCAGGACAGACAAAGCAATACTGAATTACGAAAGGTTTCGGTTACTTTACAACCGTATGCCGCCGGCAGGATTCCTACTTAATTCCCTCAGGTGTTATTGGCCGTGAGAGGACTGTAACCAACTGTTACAACGCCGACTGAAACGCCTGGAATATTTTCGACATGTCTAAGGTAAGGGTGAAGCTGTTTTCTGTTTGTTAGAATACTGTTCTTTAGTTCTTACAAAAATGTCAATTTTGATAGATTGAGTGTCTTTTGAGCTTTGTTTGGTAATAAGCTGCAATCCTCAAATGAATTTTAAAGCTTTTGAAATTTGGTGTGTTGTTTGTATACTTTGACTGACTTCAATTTCTCCACTTAGTTTTAAGAAATATAACTTTTTTTTTTCGCAACTCTGAAGAAGAGCCATCGTTTTATTCTGAGACTTTTGTCAAATTTGAGTGCCTTGATTACGAAATGTTGTTGAAACAGGAGCTCAAGCCATCGCTATAACGTGCAATCAGACTAGACACGATTCGCGCGAAGCTATTCTGTTCTTGGTTTGCAACCACGTGACAAAGCGGCTATGTTGGGGGTCAAGACAAGCGAAATTTGCATCGAAGAATTTACGTGAAAATAGAGTTTAGTTCCCAGAGGAAGGGAAAGCTTTTGTTCTTGACCACCAACATGGCTGCCATTGTTCACGTGCAAACCAGCAATAAGCTAAATAATTGGCACATTTCTATAAACAATTGCAGATAAAAAGCCAAGCACACATGGTGGCCATCCAAGGCATCTAATGAATTCAAATCTCAGCTCTTTTAACAAATATGACATTTAATGTATATTATTCATGATAATGATGCTGGATATATCTCAATGTCCAATAACGTTTCTTCTAATTGTTCATCTTCCTTTACACTGTAAATACACTGCATTTGCCCAAAGTGAAAGTATTTTCCCATTTCCAAAAACTCAGTCAACTAATGAAAATTATTGTTGTTTGTTTGTTGTAGCCAGTGCTGTATTCCTATTTTAGAAGTTCTTGCTCTTGGAGAGTTAGAACAGGTAAGGAGATTGATTAGGAATTATTTCTGAAGGTCATCTTTGTTTGAAAAATAATATCCAGGTGATCTGATATCAATGTAAGATCTGCCTTGACATTTTATTGCTCGTTAGTTTCATATCACATGGCATGTATGAAAAATAATAGATATAAAATGACACAAATTTAAGAACATTGTAGCTATAAATGTTACAAAGTTCTCTTCTATTAGAGTAGCTTTTTGGATATTACTCTGGACACTCTACCAATGGACTTTGAAATAATATGTGGTAGCAGCTCCTTTTTTTTTCCAACCAATGATTTTTAAAGGGTAATTATAAACTTTTTTTAAATAATACTTTCCTCTTGCTTTTCATAAAACAATTCCACTGTATCAGCCTCACTTTCAAAATGTCTTTTTTCTTATTTTGCAAGAATACAGAAGGTAGCAAATTGTTTCAATTTATTGGCATCAGAAGGTCACCTAAAATGCAAGGCAACTCTCTGGAAACCAGGCGATTTCCTGAAAGAGAAGCAAATTTATGTCAGATCAGTATCAAAATTTTAAATTTGCGTGCTTGAAAGTAACTTGTATTACAGATTTTAAGATTACAATGAGTAAAAGACACTTCTAATGATCTTTTTCAAAATTGTTTTACTTGTCACTTCTGTGTATTTTTTTCAAAAGCTCTTGCACTTAAAGGCATTGACTATGAAACCCATGCTGTTCACTTGTTGAAAGATGGAGGTCAGCAGGTGTGTACTGCGTTGCTCTAATTAATGGATAATTATTTCATTTATCATGACTTATACTTGCAAGGAAATCATCACAGCCCAAGCATTTTTTAATTAGTGCTCTTCCAGCCTTAAGAAGGGCTTGTTTAGCAGTGAATATCCTTTTGTTGGTGTTTTTGCTCATTTAGTTTTTTTTTTAAAGAAGTCTCCCTTTCAAAGTAGAGGTGATTGTACAACAGGGACCAGACTGGGAGGGATGACCTTAATTTCTCATCAATTTGCAGATTAAGTTATATTTTGGTGTATATGAGTACTGTAGCAGGCCTTGTGGGAAACACCAGGTCCCACTGTCAGTGGATTTTAATTAAGCGGCTTTTGCCAGTTGGTGAATAAAAATGAATGTATAAATTAATTGATAAATATTTTTATTTACTCTTTCTTCTTTTTTAACCACAGTTACGTTTTTATACTTAACTTTTTTCTTGGGCTTTCTGTCTTAGATTTTCTGAAGAACCCTGTTTTTTTCTTACTCTATACAACTTTTTGTATCTAGTCATAGGACAGGCACGTGTAGAGTCACTTGCAACATGAAAAGTAACCCAAACGTATCATAGGCCATATACCTAGATTGGAAAGCTGACTGTGCATGTTCATAAGCATTGTTGGGTGATTTTAGTTAAATTTTAAAGTTTGTGTTAAGTTCACTTCATTTCTGTATTTGACATCTTATTTTAGCGAAAATTACTTCCCCCTGATATTTCTACCTAATTTTGAAAATGTGTAATGAGTCATTTTTGCAGACCAAATTTCACACCATCATCTGTTTTATGGTACTACAACTACAAACTAGGAGAATTCTCTCTGTTTTTCTTTCACTTGAATTTAGTAATCCTAATCATGTGACGTTTAAAAAGAATTTGTACAATATAGAAAAATCCCAGAGAACTCTGATAGTTGTGGTAGTAAAATGTAATCCTTATGAAGAAATTTTGTCCTATAGCAAGCTGAGGAGTATAAGAAGTTAAATCCCATGGGCCAAGTACCTGCTTTAGTGATCGATGGCCACACACTGGCAGATTCAGTAAGTTTGTTATTTGAAATAATAAACCTATAATATAATTGTTCTTACCTTTAACATTATGGTACCTTGCAAGTAGCTAGAGGTTTCAATTCTCTCTTGCAAGTGGTCTGCATTGCTTGTAGGTCACGCAGTTGAAAAGCCATGGGAACGACTTCATAATGCTAAGAGCCATGCAAGAGAGAAACCTCTGCTCGCTGGGTTCATTATGGATTAATTTCCAAGGAAGACATTTAGGGAAGAATTTCTGAGCCAGAGATCTGTATAGATACAGTTGGACCTCTTCACAATGGCCACATTAGGGACAGAAGAAAGTGGTCATTGTACAGAGGTGGTGGTTGTGGAGAGGTGGCCGTTATTGGAGGTTCGACTGTATTATGTGACTGCTCAAGTGAGCTAGTACTAGGAGTGGAATGGTAATAATATTATTATCTGTTTTGTTCTTTGCAGCTTAGTATAATAGAATATCTGGATGAGACAAGACCTGATCCTCCACTTTTGCCCAAGGATAATCCTCATAAGAGAGCATTGGTATGTTTCATTTTTTCATTTTTTCATTCATTTTATTATCTTAACCAGTGCTGATTGAGTCTGAAAGTGTATTACATCTATCTTTGGAATTGTTCGATTTTATGCCCATTCATACCTGCTAATCTTAATTATTGCCGACAAATGATCCATTATTCTGAAAATAATTTATAAGCCATAATTTTATTAGCCTAACAGCAAAAAAAATGCCTCTCATCTTTTCTGGGCTAAATATACTGGCACTCAAATAACATTATTTATTTATTTATTCATTGATTAATTGTTTATCTAGTTTAATATTTATATAATGGTATTATTGTCTTTTCATGTTATTGACGTACATGTATCTTTCAGGTACGGCAAGTAAGTTACACAATAGCTAGTGGAATTCAGCCAATTCAGAATCTGTCTGTCTTAAAGTATGTTGGTGATGAGAAAAAGGCAGAGTGGGGACATCACTGGATAAACAAAGGATTCCATAGTAAGTTTATTGTGGGAGAGTTTCAAAAGTCAGGTACACAAAAGATGCTTTGTACTTTAATTGTTTCTCATTTTGCTTGACTGTGCTTATATAAAAGATAACAGAACTTCTCATGCCAAGCATTCAGCTCAAGGATTCCAGAATCCCGCTACTGATTGGAATCTGGAATCCAAGTTCCACTGATAGGAATTCATTATCCAGCTCCTGGAATCTGGAATCCACAGGGTGTAATCTAGAATCCAGGACTGTCTTGGTTTACCTTAAGTATATGAAGAGATACCAAAATATTGATTATGAAACCAGCATATGTACGGTCATCAATGTAAAACAATAAAATGTCACGTTTGCAATACCCTAAATATATCCCACTCGTTCAGTACAAAATTTTGTGAGAAACCCGAGTTTTTCGGTGAGAAATAGCATGTTGAATGAAAAAAAAAACGTTTGGGCCCGCCAGTCACTTTAGTATTTACTGATCGTAGGTTAATATTTAACATGTGCTGTACACACTGCAGTTTTTTCTGTTTGTTTCCTCCGTTTCACAAATGTTGATGTGAACTGCCTTTGACTGATTATTTGTCCTTACGTACATCAGTGTGTATTGTGTACTAGTGAGAACCAGAGTTTAATATTTGTGGGGAAAGGTTATAAAATACAGATTTGTAAAAAATCAATACAGTGGAACTTCTCCTTTGGGACACCTCTATTTCAGGGACACCTCCATTCAAGGAACACCAATTTTGATCCGGGAAAGATGTGACACATAATCTTTGTTACCTCTATTGAAGCCTGGACACTTTTTCTGGGTCCCGAAACCCAGACTCCACTCAGGGATGCCTTAGTACTGAAAAAGCACCACTAGTTTGCTGATAAGTTTAAAATTAAGTGTGCACTAGTCACAATGGCAACAACTCATGAACTATCTAACTTTAATTGATATACTGCACTTGTGGGAATTCAACACACAACATCACAGAGACAAGTTAAGCATGATTTTTTATACAGTCATTATCTAGCTGCTTGAAATTATGACTGCAGCAGATTCCGAGGTAGAATTGGAGAAAAATATTTTATTTCTTGGTTAACTGTTAACAAACCCCAGCCCAACCTGCATTCAGGGGACACCTCTATTCATGGGACACTTTCCTTGGTCTCAAGGGTGTCCCCTGAATGAAGGTTCCACTGTAAATGGTATATTCACTGAATAGTAACTGTTCCTTTCCAGACTTAGAGAAGATCTTGGAGAGTACTTCGGGAAAGTATTGTGTTGGAGACGAGGTAGGTTAATGAGTAAGATCGTGATGTTTCTTGATGAGTAGTTTGAAAGTTTTTACCTTCCTCCAGTTCCGATTTACACGGTCATCTAAAATAATTATATAGCTGGTAGTTAATTCGATATTGTCAGCAAGGCTATTAATTTCTAAAAACTGAACAATGGATTAATGTGGTTACTTTCAGATAGGTCTTTTCTTAAACAATAATTTATTTAAAGTGAAACAGCAGACTTCAAAATAGCCCGTATTATCGGGTAGGTGTTTAATAAGAACGTGGGAGTGGTCAAAGAAAATGTTTTTTTTTTCTCCCTTTTTTCTCTAGCCTAGCCTAGAGCGTGTGAAAAAACAACACTGTTTTACAGTCCAGCAAAGTAGTACCACTATGTAAAAATATAAGTCATGTGACCCACAAAGAGGTGTCATTACGTTAACATAGTTAGATTTTTGTGTGACCAACAGAGAAAAAACTTTACGAAGACAGGAATTCCGGCAGCCGTATGATCGAGGATGTGTTGGTAATAGCAGGTCTGTTTTATATCGCTTCTGACTTTTCTTGTTTTGTTTTATTGCAGATATCAATGGCTGACTTATGTCTCGTCCCTCAAGTTTTCAATGCAAATAGGTAGATATTTTTAGACTTGATCAAGAAATAAAAACGGCAAGGGATAATTTAATGAACGGGATAAACAGTCTTCTCCCTAAATCGGTTCATTCTTCCATTAATTGCGTTCGTTTCAGTCGTGTTTTATCCTATTTGAATGTTCATAAAATACTTAACCCATTCGCCCCTGAACCGCCCGTAACCGCCCGCGTAGCCTGCGAGCAAGCTCTCCTATTTGGGCGAGTGAAACGAGCCTCGGCCCCTCGCTCGCGCGTTTTCGCGAGGCTCGCTTCGCTTGCCCAAATAGGAGAGCTTGCTCGCAGGCAGAGGCTGCCGCCTGTGCGGATTCACGTCCGTTCTACCGCTTGTGACGTCATCAGTTTTAACGATCGAGAACAACACTGTCCTCTAATTTGTGCAGGTAGAAGAGATCTTTCAAACCATACTAGAATGAGCACGATTCAGTAAAGGACACCAGAGAAAAAGGCAAATAACCATGTAACATTGACCCAAAAATTACCATGAAAATCTCGTTTCACTACCCATCTAGCTTTCCTTTCATCTAATCCTAAAATCGTAAAAGCTTTTCCACGAACTTTTCCAACCAAAATGAAGCCTTCTAAATGCTCAGTAAAGGAAAAAAATGAGGCGAGAAAAGCGAGGGAGGAAATTTTGCTTCCTGCGCATAGCCGAACTTCGCAAGCTAATATGTTGCATCGTGATCAGACGGTCGCGAAGTGTATAGCCTGTTCCAGGCTCTCAGATAGTGGAGAAGATGCGAAAGAGTGGGGAGACTCGAAAGAGGAATGTACGCAAAAAGATGGCGGAACAGGAAAAAAGAAAAAGGAAAAAAAGCCCTTTCCCCTCCCGTTTTTTTTTTCTTTTTTCATGTTCGCGCTTTCTCAGTACAGCGGACCCGACTATATCGGAGCCTGGACAGGCTGTGCAACCTTTAGCTCTTTATAGCCAGACAGTGACTAGAAAACCGATCGACTAGCTCCAAAGGCATCTTCGGCAAAATCCCCACGGGCGAGTGGGTTAAGTTTCATTCACTGAAGATTTACATGTATTAACTTAGTTTTATTTGAGTTTCATTCGATTGGAACTTTGTAAAATTCGCACTAAATTAACTGTGATTTCAACTCTATTTGTTTGGCTCACTTAAGGTGACTCGACCCAGTTTTTTTGGGGGGGTACCATCCTACTTTGAAGCTCTCTGGTATCCCCACCTTTACTTTTATCGTAAGTCTAACACATAGAATGGATAACATATAGATCAATCTACAATATAACATAAAATTTTTGGCGATCGGAGTAAATGTCACGTGGTTATAATGCCACGCCCCTTTGAGGTCTGAGTCGAAAATCTGCTGTTGCCGGCATTTTTTCGTGAAAATCTCTCGGCTACACATAGTGCGCATTAGTGCCTTGCGCTGAACAGAGTTTCACCAAAATCGCAAAGACCCAATTCGAGAAATTCAGCGGTTTCCAAATTTAGGTCATAATTTATGCGAAAATGATAAGCAAACTTTACACGGATTATATCTAATAAACTATGAGATTCATCTCTTTATTTTGGGCATCGTTATAACAGATGGGTCCTTGCAAGTCAGCAAAACGCTTTAGGGCCTTGTAAATGCGCGCGATTTCGAGCAAAGCAAACATATAGAAATTATAGTTTTCGCTATTTGTTGACGTTTGTCAGCGTTTAAGAGTCCTTCTCACGAAAAAAGCATTTTCTTAAAAATTCGTAGTTTTTTTTCCTTCAAATTTTTTCAGGGCCACAATTGATTAACTAACTACCCGGACTCTGAATTTCATGGTCATTGAAAAACTGTGACATTATCTTCTATAAGCCCAAACTTGAGTAAACATTGAAGATTTTTAGCGTTTTGGCTGAGTTTGTGCTTTGGGAGTTGTCTATTGTTTCTAGTCTGTCATTATACAGCATTCTTGTTCAGCACGCGTGCAATGACCGCGCTTGGCTGACTTCCGAATGCTCACCGAGATATAATAATTTTGGTACAGTGAGACAGGCCATCGCGTGATACATAGAGGTTTAAGTCACAATTTTTAATCAATTCTCGTGCTTCTTGTGCCTTTGCAAAAAAATCAAGAAGTGCTACACACTAAATCTACTTACTATTAAAAAAATATCATTTTTTCATAGGTTTAATGCAAGCCAATAATTAAACCAACTCGTGACGGGAATATCTCGGTGAGCATTCGGAAGTCAGCCAAGCGTGGTCATTGCACGCGTGCTGAACAAGAATGCTGTATAATGACAGACTAGAAACAATAGACAACTCCCAAAGCACAAACTCAGCCAAAACGCTAAAAATCTTCAATGTTTACTCAAGTTTGGGCTTATAGAAGATAATGTCACAGTTTTTCAATGACCATGAAATTCAGAGTCCGGGTAGTTAGTTAATCAATTGTGGCCCTGAAAAAATTTGAAGGAAAAAAAACTACGAATTTTTAAGAAAATGCTTTTTTCGTGAGAAGGACTCTTAAACGCTGACAAACGTCAACAAATAGCGAAAACTATAATTTCTATATGTTTGCTTTGCTCGAAATCGCGCGCATTTACAAGGCCCTAAATTGTTTTGCGGACTTGCAAGGACCCATCTGTTATAACGATGCCCAAAATAAAGGGATGAATCTCATAGTTTATTAGATATAATCCGTGTAAAGTTTGCTTATCATTTTCGCATAAATTATTACCTAAATTTGGAAACCGCTAGATTTCTCGAATTGGGTCTTTGCGATTTTGGTGAAACTCTGTTCAGCGCAAGGCACTAATGCGCACTATGTGTAGCTGAGAGATTTTCACAAAAAAATGCCGGCAACAGCAGATTTTCGACTCAGACCTCAAAGGGGCGTGGCATTATAACCACGTGACATTTACTCCGATCGCCAAACATTTTATGTTATATTGTAGATTGATCTATATGTTATCCATTCTATGTGTTAGACTTACGATAAAAGTAAAGGTGGGGATACCAGAGAGCTTCAAAGTAGGATGGTATCCCCCCAAAAAACTGGGTCGAGTCACCTTAACGCGCTTAAATCTCATCGAGAATCGCAACAAAGGCTGCCTGGCTCAAACGACAAGCTCTTGACTTTGTTTGCTTCTATCTTTCCATCTTTCATTCTAACTGAGCTAACACATGTTTTCTTTCTACAGGTTTAAAGTTGACATGTCTCAATTTCCAGTGATATCACGAATTCACGAGTCTTTGTCTAGACTGGAGGCCTTCAAGGTAGCGCACCCTTCCCAACAACCGGACTGTCCCGAAGATTTGAGGAACTGATATGATCCGCTTACTGAATTTTTTAATGGCAACTGTTCTTTCAGCTATAAAATAGTTACCAAAAGACAGAAACGTGAAATAAAAGTGTACCACCGCACTTTTCTAGTATTCTTTATTGTTTTACATCATTTCTCCGGATTAAAAAGTTTAAGGAAAGCTTCTCGCACTCCGTCTCCTTTCGCGTGCGGCACCCGCGTGACTTCTCGCGATTCCCCCAAATGGAGAGCTTGCTTGCAGGCTAAGAAGTATCTGGAACGATTCCATATCAGCGACAAATCAGTAGAGCTTTATATTTCGGCCTGAATCACGCAAAGGCAAGGACACGGAGGTGCACACGCGCGTTTGCGTTGTCTTAGGTACAACAAGTGCCTTTAAATTCAAAATACCTGCTTTATAAAAGCCTAAGCGCTGAGACACACACCTTTCCAATCAGCAACCCAGTTTCGATTTCGTGATAAGCCCTCTCAACCTTATTTAGTCACTAACTTCTCATTTATCATTTAGAGTTAGGCCTTCATCTCCGTGAAATAATTTCAATCAATGCAATGCAATCTTTCAACCAGATTTTGTGCAAACGCGAATATCTTTATTTACAAATGTCAAGAAGAGCCATAATACTTGGGGGTAATGTTGAAGACTCCTTACACTTGTCATTTTTTAGAATCTTACGTATAAATGACTTTTTTGAAAATTTTATTCAATCTTTTATGAGAGCCGAAATAACCTTGCCATCTTTCAAACTTTCTCCTCTTATTGTAATTATTTGAAGCTTTTTTAGCAAGAGCTTGTCCATTACTAATCACTTTTTTCTGTTGTCGTTTTCACTCACTATTATTATTTCGTCGTCTGGTTTATGGTTGATGTGTTGCCTGGCAACCGCAGTTACCCTGGTGATAGAACCATGGATGACTAGATCTTCGTTGGACGGGGCACCCGTCTTAGCATTGCGAATCCAAGCTTTAAAAAGCGACTGACGGATGCACTTCACATTTGATGGCCAATCACATTCACCCGAGTTGTAGTTGTATTTCAAGGCTCTGGGGCAGCTTTGCTTCATTGTTTCTCCTTGTGCGCACGTGTAAAAGCTTGAGCAGTCATAGGGATCACGGTAATTACCATTAGCTCTGTCCAAGCAGAAAGCTTTATCTACTGCAATAGAAGAATCAATTAGTCTCGTTAATATTACTTACTCAATCTACTTATGAAATGACTCCTGGGTTCAAACCTTTCACAGCATTACTCAGCCTGTCACTTTTGAAAATACCTTTGACTGAACCGTGCGTGCACACGACATCAGCTAGAAACTAAGGACGTGCTCGCTGGTCATTTTCAGTTCTTAGTGAGTTTAAGTTGGAATTTCTATGAGAAGCTTTTCATTTTAACTTTAGGTGGGTTCCCTGAGGTTTTTGGCGAATAGAAATACTAATTATCATAAGTAATCATATATCATAGTCAAGCGTAAATATCTCTAATTACCGGTATGCCTTACAGCCACACCCACCAGTCAATCAGGGCGAACAAGCAAATTTAGAATACTCTTTTTTTTGGAGGGGGTAGGGTGGGAAAGGGAATCTGAAACGATAAATGTCTGGTGGAGAAATGGCTAATTTTGTACAGAGAAAACTCTCATCTGTCTTACCCACATGAGGTTCCTCGCTTTTATTTTCTATGGGATTTGGGCTTTTTGTTGAGTTGCTTCCAGTTCTAGTTGCAGGATCTAATAAGCGACATTCAAATTGAATAAATGCTTAGTATCAATAGTTGATTCCGAATAGCAATAGACATATTGTTATATTTAATTTAACTTTCTTTTATTTGCTTTAGCACCAGGCTTCGCAGTTGGCTGATGTCAAATAGACCCCTCCACGGTTTTTTGTTTCAACTTTTGGTATGAAAATCCGTCGGCACCACTGGAAACAGAGCCTTAAAATTAGCAAGCATGCCAAGCTTGAAAGTGATACGTCTTATAAATGAGCGAATTAAGATAAATTCGCAAAGTTGCGAAAAATTTCAGACGTTTGTTTGGAACGTTTGTAAAAATTTCACGGCTTTAAGGAGCTATATCTTGGTTAGTTTTCAACAAAGCACCTTCAAACTTGGCAGTTTTACTAATTTGAAGGCACTTTTTTTAAGCGAAGTCGACAGATTTTCCCTTATTTTTCCACGTTAAAAGTTGAAAAAAAAAAAACGTGAAAAGGTCTATTTTCTCAGATAATAATGACTTTTTTAAAGGCGTCTTGCTCCTCGCTCGTGGCGCTACATTCTGTACATTCTGTATTTGCCGATCACTTCGCTCCGTGGCTGGGCCGAAAATTTAATAATGTTGTAATATGGTTAATGTATTAGCAAAATTCGTGCTGCTAACTACGTCATTACTCAACGTCAACATCATCAAGGGGCTTGACCTTCACTCGGACTGATACGATTTACCCCTCAGGTGCTAGAAGAAGTCTCTGCTTATTAATGGTCCCCATGCCAACGAAAAAGCGGGATAAGCGAACAAGGCCAGGAGCCCATAACTCGCGGCCGGTTGCGAGTGGCTCCCTTGTACCCATGCAACGGGCGTTCTGTCTATTTTCAGATCGATTTTCCCTCGAATTTTGAATATCAAATAAGTCTTAAAAATCAGTCACCAAAAAGCTAAGACCAGAAAAAAGCATTTTATGTTTTGATTGCATTTACTTCTTTTTCCTGTACTTATCGCACTATAGATGCGCACGCATGGTCGTAAACGGAACGGTGCTTCCATTTTCTCGGGGAAAGGTGCTCAAAAGTGATGTTAAAAATAACTTGAAATGTAAAAATGCTGTTGCATAGGCTTAGTCTTGGAGTTACACGCTCCGGGGTTATGGGCTCCTGGCGAGGCCTTGTCAATACCTGAAGTTGAGCTCCCAATTGCGTTTCCCGGAGTGCTTTGCTCTCCTTGACGAGGATCGGGGATCACCTCGGGCCTCTTAGTTTCTAACGCTGAAGGCTCAGAGCCTTCTATGACACGGCAGGGAAAGTTATCTGGAGTGTCACATGTCTTCAGAGTAGGATTAAACACCATTCCTTTAAGACAGTACCGCTTGGAAGCCTTTCCCCTCAAGCATTGGTAAAACGCTTGGCATTCGTTCGGATCCTGGTAAAAACCATCAAATTTGCCATCGCAAAAGGAATCATTCACTGCCAACAAAAAAATAAAACGTTTGCAATACCACCTCAAAATCATTTTAGTGTGCCCGTTTGGAATATTAAATAGCTCTTTGTGAGGGCTCAAAAGAGTCCTGCCCGCCAATTAAGTTGCTCCTTGTGTTATGTAAACTTGGACACCATGGCCCGTTTCCTCTAAAGATGATTAAGTTTAACCCAGGATTAAGCCAAACTTCAAGCACGGTTTTCTCGTTTAAGAACATGAAACTGGAGGTTACAAAATACTGTTGAGTTGAGCCCTTACTACGAGATACAGTAATGATAACCATGACAAAATGTTGCCCTTAGCAATGCATAGGAATGTAAAATACAAAAACGGAACAAAATTTCAATCCTGGATTAACGCTAATCGGCCTTTCAGGAACCGGCCCATGTATAGTAAGGCATAGAGGACAAATCTGAAAGGAACGGAATAAACATGTTATATTTTAATTATTCATATGTCTGTTCTTTTGAGTTTGGTTTTAATCACGTCTTTGACTTATATTTTACTCATTACTTTAGTCTCTTGTTCCTATTCCATCCTAATCGATGATTTTATCAATGATTTGGAAAAACTAATCAAAGTAAATATGAAATAATCACTATGTATTTGCTTGCCTAAGCCATTTAACTATGTCTACATTTATCCAAGTAACAGCAGTATTGAGATTGCAGATATAGACTGTGCAAAAAAGACAAAACAATAGAATTGAATAAGAGTATCACTAAGGAGCGAAGACTTTCTGTGCATTGCGTCCGCCGATGCCCTGCGCTCTCTCTTGCCTCACATGGCTTTCCGTAGTCAAGGGTGAAGACAGATATCAGAAGTGCACTGAATGTTGAGAACTCAGTCAACAAAACTCGCTGATTAATCCATTGAGTAAAGAGATATCAGAGGAACAACAACAAATTTTGGTATCATACGTAAAAAAAATTAAACAAGAGTAAGGCAAATAAAATACTGATCAACTCACTTTTCTGAGAAGAACCTCCCTTATCTTTTTCTGTCGCTAAGGTGGGACTGGGAGTATTCACAACCGTTCTTTGATGACATGGAAAATCCGCTGGACTGTCACAGGCCTTAAGAATATCATTAAACACTTGTCCTGTTGGACAATGTCTCCTCACTGCATAGCCACTCGAGCATTGATAATATGTAGTACATTGGTCAGGATCGCTGTAAGTTCCATCTTGTTTACCCTTGCAGAATGATTCTTCCACTAGAATGAGATGATTCCGGAAAGCGCGCAAAACTTAGTAGTAACACTAAAAAGGTATTGGTGTAAACAAAATTACTGCTCATGCGCTATTTCTAATTTCAGCTTTACTAGTCACAGAACTGCGCAATTAGGATGGCTATGAGGATGGGTACGAAAAAGATCTATCAGTCAGCCGCATGCGCAGTGCTCTCTCTACCCATTGCCAAAGCCTGTAGAGACAGTTACCAGGAGTAAGTAGACTACGGGTAGTTTTTCATGCTCAAGGATATTAGTGAGCTCAAGCAAAGACGTTTTTGAGCGAAGCACATCAACCGGAATTGGTCTTTTTGCATTCTTGAGAAGTGGTCTCGCCCACATTTTACGACAAATCGTCTCTACAAGAGTAAGGACACTTTGCAATTCAAATCTGGTAGTACTAAGACATATTAAAAGAAATAGGGCATCCCTTCCGGTTGACGCGTGTCACTCCAAAACGCCCTGAGTCAAACGAATTACGCAGGCGCGCTCATAAAAATCGCCACCCGTATGGGAAGTGACTAAGCTATCACCTTCCTCGCGAGTGGCAATTTTTACGCGCGCTTACGTAATTCACCTTCTCTGGACCATGTAGGGGAGAAAAAGTATTTCCTATAGCTAGTGACTGACATACTTGTTTGCTGGATATTTTGAGAATCCTGTACTTGTCCTTGGCCATGGCACCTGATGGTGCGCGGATCGCTTCCTGTCAGTGAAGATATTAAGATGTCAACTGCTATGATAAGCGGATGCCATGTTCTTTGTGGACAGTTTTAAAATTCTTAACGTATAAATAATAATAATAATAATAATAATAATAATAATAATAATAATAATAATAATAATAATTGTGTAATATCTTGTTTACGTTGTCCACATAGGGGGTAATGCCATTCAATAGAGGAAAAACTTTATATAGTGTAAAATTGCGACTAAAACTGCACTTCAACTTGCTGGTAGTAGCCCTGAGCAGGAAATTCTTTTGGAACCTTTTGAATTCAGAAAACTTATACCATTAATTTCCGCTACTTCAACAAATAACTATATACTTATTCTTCGCAGCTAAAACAAATATGACAAGGCTTACCCCTCATAAAACCAGAGAACTGTACAGATGACGTAATGTCTTTGTCATTTTTGAGCTCTGTAATTGTTGACTCCACCTGTTCACCACTAACACTTGTCAGACGAACTCGTAGTGGGAACTGGACTCTGTTCGGTGATCCCATTAGAAAGTAGTTGTCGTCTGTTCTTTGTAAACAAATCCACCTACCATTTTGAAGTATCTCGAGGCCAACCGTTACCACTCTAGGATTGGATTAGATTGAAACGAAAAAACAGTAATATTGTGAGCGAAGCGACTTTTTTTTTTATATACCTGACTCGTTTTACATTGGATTTGGTCACTTGTTTGACTTGGAAATAACTAATAACTAATCCCGATAGGAAGAAGGAAATTCAAGACAGAATAAGCCAATAACGAGTTATACATTGCGATCTGAACTCAAGTCCAGAATGACCTTGATGTAACTGATAGTCAGTGTTGGTTTTGTCGGAGATCATATATCAGGTAGATCCTACAAATAGTTTAATATCATGACGAAGGTTACATAGTACCTACCGGGAATTTCTTGTTTGTAGTTTCAGAGCCCATGGGTTACTTTCTACGAATCTAAACTTGATGTTACCATTGATTCCAGGTGCTCTGGGACAGTCAATTGCCCTGAACTGTGTCTTCCAGACATCAGCACCAGGCGCGTATAAATCGAACCCTGTATAAGCAACATTGGGATTACAGGAATACAGAGAACTAGAGAAAGAAGTAAACTTTTTTAACCCTCCACGAACGGGCTTGATGGGTATGATGTTAATAAGCAACCAGACAGCCCATTTGTTAGAGTACCGTATTTCCTCGAATAATAGCCGGGGGCGATTATTTCTTTCTCGCACCAAAAGGTGGCGATTATTCAAGGGAGGAGATTATTTCGAGTATTGCTCACTAATAGTAGTGCTCTTGGTCTTGAAGTTTCGACGAGGTTCAAAAAATGTTTTATAGCTCAAATTACAAATTGTCATGTTCCTAAATGAGAAACTTTACATTAGTTGTTAGTGTTTTGTTTGAGTTAAATTTATCCTGCATCTTTCAAGCATTATCTTGGCAGAAATAAAAATAACAAAAATATCCTTTTATTCCACAAAATGATATGTCATAAGCCTGCAAGCGACCTGCTGTCGACGCAAGGCGTTTACGAGAGCTCAGGGATATTTCCTTCGCCATACCATTCAACTCTTCCTCCCTCTCTTTCGTTAAACTACCCATTTATAATTATAGCTTGATTGTAAAGAAGGATCTGTTAGAGTTCATAAATATTGGGAATCGCGGAAGCTTTTCTAACAGGACTGCGGAAGGAGCAAAAGAGGCTTATTTCTTTTAATTAGTTATTTCTTAAGCATGCTCTAATGTTCGTAATGTCTTGCGCGACAATAGGGAGGTTAAGCATCACGTTTACGTCTAATGGCAAACGCGAATTTGTACCACGTGACCAAGTTTCCCCTTTACTTGTCGTTTACTGCTCGTTATTTGAACACATAAATTAGTAGTTTCACTCAATCTTTCATCCATAAGAATTGTTTTGAGCTGTTTTTATCTGCTCATTTTCAATTTTGAGAAATTCTCAACTTGAATCTGACGTTTGCCGTTTGCCGTACACGTGATGGTTAAACTCTCCTGACCAATAATAATAATAATGATAACTATGTCAGTTGCATACCTTGATTACAATTACCACAGCGGTCAATTACAACTGCATATATCGGCCCTATGATTGGTGTTTTGGAAATTTTTCCTCTGCGAGCAAGATCGGCTAGAATCCCTTGACCTTTAATTTCTACGCACATACCACAGCCAAGGGACTTTTGAAACTCTCCATCTCCGGCCGCTACCTTTAGCCATCCAAGGTGACTGTATTCTGTGGTCAATGGGTCGAAAGAGCAGGCTCCACCACCTTGATAATAGCCATAGTAAGAGCTCTGCACAAGAAAAAAAAGCAAGAATCAGGCAGTTAAAGGTTCTGTAAAAGACCACAGTGACTACTCCTGCTCGTACTCAAGACAGGGTACCGAAGTACCAACATCAATAACGTAAAACAAATCCACAATTTCCAAACAAGTGAGATCTGCTACAGTGCGATTCCACCCTTACACACGCCTGAGTGATAAACTCCTCACACATAATGTCAAGGCAGTACTTTTGAGACACTGCACACTAGCTACTCCATCTACCTGAACATCACGCAAAATATACCCTGTTCTAAGACATTTGAATTCGATATTGTTTGCCTTCCATTTTTTTATGGATGTTAAATCCGTTTTATTTCTATTGAATCTCGCATACAGAATTATCGTAGATGTTTATTTCAACTGAGATGATATTGTTTTTCATCCTGTATAATACACGACCTCACGAGCATTTTTTTAAAATGATGATGATGATGATGATGATGATGATGATGATGATGATGATGATGATGATGATGCAGATGATGATGATAATGTCACTGATGATGATGATGATAATGATGATTGTGTCGGTAGTGGTGGTGTTGAGGTAACACCGATAAGACGTAAAAATCAGACAGAAACGGCACTCGAAATCCTCGCGTGATCAATGAACGCTTTATTTTAGTCATGTAATCACTCTATCACCAATAATGTAGCCCCAGCAAGTGAACAACATACAACCCATAATCCCTTGATTAATCAGTTGATTAACTTTACTCTCTTCACAGCTCCATTTGTACTTACATTTGCGTCCTGTAACTGGCCGTTGTACTTGCGCCATATCGCCAGTAAGTTCTGAAAGTCTGTGACTCCCTTAGAAACAAAAGCAAAAGTTATCAACGTTTTTTATTCCATTACCTGACTTAATCAGGAGAGAGGTCAAGAATACACTAAAGCATATCATCGCAGCTTATTTGAACAAACCTTGGTCAGTTGCACACACAGGTAAATAAAAAGTATTACTAATGCATCTCTTGAAGGCGAAATCATCACTTCTCAAAGAAGGGCACAGATATTACCGCTGGAAAATTAGAATAACAAATTGGTATAAGCATACATGTTTCTTTATATCTGTTAATCGCTTTATCTCGTCATTCCTCTTTTACTTATGAATGCGTTATTTTGGCGAGTAGAACCCATTTGTTGGGAGTCATAAGGGGCTTTAATAATTAACGCGAATGATTCATTTCTCTGAATTATAAGCGGTTGCCTATAGCCTCAACAGTTAATTTACCTACTTCACAGTAATTAAAAAGGATTTTTAAATGCCTGAGGCTGTCTGTGATTTTTGATGCTTTAACTGTTGTCAATTGGTTAGCTCAGTGGTCAAGAGATTCTAAAAAGTTTGTAAACACTATCGGCAAAGAGAAAGAACAACCATCATTAAGTACATGTGAAAGATTTAAACACATTAGTCGCACAAATCTGCTGGTTTAACTTAACCAAGTTTAAAAGTACATATCTAGTGATTCTGATAATTAAACTAATTAGTAAGCCAGCCCAGACCAATTTGTTCATGGTAATTTTCTACAGTTATTTTCTGGGGACCTCTGGAAAGACAGATCTTCGTTTAAAGGACTGTTTAGTCTAAAAACTACTCTACTCGGAAAATTTCAAAACTCACCGTTTCCATTGATTTCAAGAGAGCAAACTTCACTTAACATGAACTAAACAAAACACTCTACACACCTACGAAATAAAATTTTAACTCGGCCAAACCAGGTCAACAGTGCAAAATGAGCGGGTATTTTGTAGAGGTCACTGATATGTCAAGTGGTTTAATATAAACGCCATTTTAAGAGCACTTTAGTCCATAAAGATAATTAAATCATCCTTTATTTAGAATTGTCACAGTTTTGTCTGCACAGGCAACCTAACCTTTCACGCAAGTAACCTGGCCGGATGTCGTCACCCGAAATTTCTGACGATCCCAGTACCTGAATTCGCTGAGTCTTATGTTACTTTTAGTACCTATTATACTCTCTTACAGTTCGTTTTACTAGACTCTCGAAGATGGTTAAAATAGTGTCACTTATAAAGAGCTAATCAAGAATATCATATTGTATTTTTTTTGGAGTGTATTGGAGGTTACATGACTCTTTTCCCTTTTTTTCAAAAGACATATTTTATAATCATTTATTTTATTAAAGTGATTTGCCGTCAGTGACTGATTACGCATATCTAAATAACTTTAAAATTACAAATGCCCGTCATAACAATTTTTCGATCTATGCTCTACTTTGCTGACCTTTTCTCTAGAAAGGACGTGTTTCAGTACTAATTATTTCGTTGACGATAAACTGAATAATATTTTACAAGGTAGCTCATTTAAACTTATTCCATTACTCACCGACATATGAACACTATATGACTAGTTTACGTAATGAACGTGCTCTGAAAATAAAGTCGCACTGCCTCAGATTTTGGTAGATCTTGCGGCACTGCATTATCTGAAATTTTAAAACATTCGGCAGTACATTTTCCTTTTTTTATGGGTTATCATACAGCTTTTAAACATCAGCAGATTAATGAGGTGTTTTGTTTTGTTTTGTTTTTTTCAATTACAATTGTCTCCTCTGTGAAATCTGTCGTGTTCTTTTCTTTTTCAAGATCTAAGAGTGACAATCAGATGTTCTTGTTTTCTCTATCCTACCATTTTTTTATCTTCAGGCGTTTTATCCGGTATATCGCAAATTTTTTCTTTAATGTTAAATTGCATCGTATCGGGACACTCCATTTCCTTTGCTTGTCCATTGGAGCAAATCAAAAAGCTCTTTCTTTCAAAGGGATTCGCGTAAAAGCCACTTGTCTTTCCAATGCAGAAATAAATCAATCCTTAAAGATACAAAAAAAGGGGAATTAGTATATGCAAGAACCATAATAGCTCTGGGTATGCAATATCATTGGCTCTTTTCGTCCCTTTTCGGTGGCTGAAGAGAAATTTAAACCTGATCTTCAGGCTGGCCAAATGCTCAGTCTAATTCAAACTAGTAAAAGCTGACCAAACTAACTACAGAAGAGCTAAACTAGCTTTATTAGTTTAACATTGACTGTATTATACAATAATGACAAATTAGAATTACATTAAAATTTAAAGAATAGTTTTAATGTAATAAAGATAAGAAAACATCAGCTTTATTATTTTTGTTAAAAGAATCGAATTGGGGTCTGATAAAGTGTAATGTAATGCAAGGAAAACAATATTTGCATCTACCTCCTCCCTCCCCTTTAGAATCGTCTAGAAGTAAATGCCCTACCTTCAGAATGAATTAACGTGTAAAAGATTCGATACAATTTTTCGGAGACCACACCGATGTTTTTCAATCGGCTTAAAAGTGCTTTTGTCCTTGTTCGATCGCTACAAACTTTTCACCAGTGATTGACTATGAGTTAAAGTTTGTCAAAATGCAGTTTTTTAGTAAAATCGATATCACTATGACAACAATAAACAAAAAACTGTATCGAAACACCTTAAATAAGCAATGACTAATTAAATTAAATACTGTTCATTAATTACGTCCTTACTCGGATCAGCCGTAGACTTCACTTTCCCTCCTTTGTATGGAATGACTTCCCATTCTTTAGGGTGATCAACAGTAACAGTCAAGGCGTCTTTATTGTTCATAAACACTCGGGATCCGTCCAATCCCGGAGACGTTTCCATCTTGGAAGGCTTCAGAGTGGAAGTTTTGTTCTTGTTGTTGTCAACCTCTGCACTTGTAGAAGGACCTGAAAGCGTAATAAGTTAATATATAATCCCTATAAAATCCCTAAAAGACCTGCAATGTTGACCTTGTGGCCAACTAAGTGGCGATAACCGAGGTTACCATGATAAAAGATACATCAAAATTATGATCAGTGCTACTCACATGTAGAGTTTTCAAAAACCAATAACATCAAGAATTAACTAACAGACGACGAATATTATTGTGACTTATTATTGTGACAACCTTATAAAGTAGAACAAAACCTGATTACGGCAAACTAAGAAATGAATACAACAAAAAACAACACGCGCTCATCCTGAAGATCATATATATTCACTCATAATTAGTAACTAGGTGACTCTAGGATGCGAGCCGTTTACTATGTTTAGAGACAAAAAAATGAAGAAGGAAAACAAATGTATAACCTCACCTTCCTCATTTTTATCTTGCTGCATAAGATCCTTATTATTCTTTCCATCTTGTTTGTCAGCAGTCTGATCTGAACTTGAAACGTCTTGCACGCCATTTTTGTCTCCCCACTGCGAAAACTCCGAAGTATGCTCTAGGAAATTATGGCCTTGTTTAATAGAATCTGCAATTTCAGCCATATTTTCAGTGTCAGGATCTCCGTCACTGAAAATCATTCCCTGCATAGCAACATCATCAAGGTACTCTTTGTTGGCTTCTAAGATGCTCTGTGCAATACTGCCACTGTCTTTGATGTGTTCCAAGTCATCAACTGATTGAGATGCTTTACCGCTCGTTGATTTTTTAACTGCATTTGACAACTTTAAACCTTCATGCGCCTTTCTTGCTTCCAAATTGAGCGTTTTCTTCATCAGGCTTTTAAGAATTTGCATCGTATGGCTCCTTGCACTAGACCTCTTTTTTAATTGAGCGCTATCAGTTTTAAACAACAAACCGAGTTTTCCAGGATTTTTCAGTATAATTTTCAGCTGCGGTTGATTTACTGGAGGTGTCCTGTGAGCTTGTAAAAAGCTTTGGTTCTTTTGCTGTGTGTATCTCTGAGGCTCATTGTTGTTGGACGAGGAATCTTGGCGTGGGTTATTTTTAAGTCTAAGATCAAAAGTTTCACTGTTTTCCCCTTGGTTAACTTCATTGATATGAAGTCGATCTAGAGTGACAACATTTTCCTTCTCCGGAATGGGATGCGTGTTTTGCAACATATTACCTTCATACTTTTTACCCAAAGGGATCCGTGACACTGAAAAATCATTGCCTTCATTAAAATGCTCAGAGGTCGAAGAATTTTGTGGAAGTATTTTGTTGCTTGTAGTATAGTTTTCTCCCTGAATCATTGGCTGTTCTTCTTCAATGTTTTCTACTTTTAAATCATTTTTGTCTTGGCTTGCAGCTGTTAGTTTTGATGTTGTGTTATCCCTGAAGTCCTGGGTAAACGTCGTTAGTGTTTTATTCAACTTTTGAGGTTGAGAGGTGTCTTCTAGAAAGTGGTCTCCCTGCGTCATCAAGGGAAGTACTTCTTGCAAATCCGCAACTTTGATGTTCACGCCCGGAGTTATAGAACCGTTTAATGTATCTGATCCTGCTGCGTTTAAGACAATGTGAAATTCGCCATCGGTCTTATTTCCCTGTGAGCCAGAATTGTCAATAGAGTCTGCAATGGATTTCGAAGGCGTTGGTAAGCCATTTTGCATTTCAGAGCACTCTGATAGAGTACAGTTTAGGGCGGGTTGTTGTCCGCTGTGATCCATTTGAACCTTGAGTTTTAAATGCAGTGGGGAAGGCATAGCGTCAGCTGCTGCTGGCAACTTATTTTCAGGTCGCTTGTTCCCAAGATCTTCAATCTGTTTAGTAAGCTGATGATGATGATGATCTTTTTCGGAAATGATCTCAGAAATATTTGAAACATTTGTATCATTTTTTTGAGTGTAGAGAGGTGACTCGGGGACTTTGTGAGAGAAAACTTGTTCGTCCGCGAATTGTCTTGATAATTCACTTGGTTGCCCCACAAGTCCTGCGCTTTCGTTTGTAACTTGCATGTCATTTAGCGTATCTTTTGATTTCAACCCGAAAAGATTTATCGCGAACATCTTTCGAGGGGAGAAACTTGAGCTTTTACCAGAACTCAAAAATCGTTGGGGAAGAGAATTTGATGTAGTTTCCTCTCGTAGCTTTTCGTCAGAAAATTGCAAAATATCCTTTAAGGTTTGGTTCATGTTCTCCGGAATACTGCGTGACTTATTTTGAAGCATAGAATGATTTGCTGTGTTCTGCGTATGAAATCGAAATAGTTCTTTTGCGGCTGAAGGATGTGGTTTTTTAGCGTTACTCTGTTCTTTATCCTGATCCACTGTTTCATTTTCTGTGCCAATTTTTGGTGCTGCATGATCGCCTTTGAAAATGTTGATAGAGAATACTTTATGGGGTTTCTGTTTGTTTAGAGCAGACGCTCTATCTTTATGCTTCTCATTCTCTTCCAGTCCCCCAACAGACTTGCCAGCGTTACCTGGTAAAGACTTGCCCCTAGTAATCTTTTTGGACTTACTTTTTCTACCAGTACCCGCCTCAGGATCAAACCAAACAAATTTCATATTTTCAGGGTAATCACAAACCGAGATCATCGGGTTAAACAACAGACCCCATGGACACAACTTTTTGGTTGTCTTTTTGCCTTCGCACATGTAAAACGCCGCCTGGTCAATTGGGTCCGCATAAATTCCATCTTCTTTGGAAACGCAAAATGGCACATGACCTGTTAAAACAACCAAAACTATCTGCTAACAATAATCACTTACATACTATTTCAATTATGAAAGCAACAAAAAAAATAGACGCGTGTAAGATGGCGAGAGACTATTCGCAACACTGTTACGATTCTCTTGTAACATGTTATGCGGTGATTTATTGCTCTAACATTATGCGTCGTTTACAGTTAGTAAGAAACTAGGTGAGTTCAGCCGCCGAATCAAGATTAAAGAACGTTTCCGCGGTGATAGATTGCTATAGATTGCCGCTAGATTTGACGAAATATAAATCGGTAACATATTAATATATACTAAAAATAAGAGGAAAAACGAAGCAAAGTGTTTCGTTAACGCTTATTTTATGGGAAAATAAAGCGTAACAAAAACTCGTGTTCGGCTCTTGAAAGCTCCTCCCTCAGCAAATTTGCTTGTTCTAAAAGTACAGCGGGGGTCGCAATATATACTCCGAGGCCTATTTCTATTTCGTAAACGGTCGTTGCCATTTTTTACGGTCGATGGCACCTTTGGTAACCAAGCCGTTAGTCATGATGGATGTAATATGTTCCCTGGGGATTAAGTTACAATAAGGCAAATAATACGTTTTTGAACAGTCTTAGAAAGAACGAAGTTGAAGCCCAAGTCGACTTTACGTTAAAAATTTTGGAAAGGGCTAGGGTCACCTGTTATTGAATTGATGAAAAAGTTAAGAAAGACAGTTTGCTAGCGTATGCCGGGCTTAATTTCTTTGGAATTTTGACAGGTTGGTGTGGTTGTTTAGTGGCAAGGGGGAGAAGGTGGGATACGAAAGGTCCGGGTTCGAGCTCCAGGTTCGACCCTGGGTTGCGATTTTCTTTCTTTTTCATAGAAACACTTTCATAACAGGTCAAAAATTTTCTAAGTGTCTTAAAAATGGCAGCGATCGTTTACGAAAGGGACAACTACTACTCCGAGCATCCAAATTGCCTTAGTTTGGCCAGAACTCTGTAAAATGTTGCTCAAATATGTCTCATAGAAAAATTTCGTTTTTTTGGATTCATCGAACAGCAAACATCTGCAAATAAAATGAGTTTAGATTAGAAAGGTCTGAATGGATAGAAACATAAATATTCCTTGAATGATAAGCTACTAACTAACGCTATTTTACACTATACCTGCTGGCTTTTCGTGCCGACAAGAAAAGCTATCCGCGATACAGTATAAACATCTAAATCCGATACGTGACTCTCCTTTTTAGAGATCGGCGCGGCGCAGCTTCGCTCCGTTATCTAAATTCTGCCGAGATCAGCGTTTTTATGTGTGAACAAAAGGCTTATCCCGTATTTTCATTTTCGTGCCGGTGCAAAAGCTTTCCGTCTTAGTATCAAAGTCATTTCGCACCTTTATCAGAAGATGGTCTGTTGCCTTGACCATAACACTTTATTTTCTCTGGAGATCCTCCTGTGGAAAAATGTATATCAGCATTAAATAATTTTTTTGTCACGTTAACTGATTTTAATCAACCAAAATGATATTTTTTTTAAGACACAGAAAATGGTGTACAGCGAGACTTGAAACTTATTAGTAGAATAAATTGAATTGTGATGAACTAATCACCTGCGTGGTAAAAAGCGCAAGCTATTAGCTGGCATAGGAACAAATGCTATCGCATCCCAGAAAGCGGAGAATTTCCTTTTTCTTTTTTTCATGAAACAGTTTTAAGCAAAAAAATAAAAAAAATCAATTCAGTCATAATTTATGAGAGGAAGGAAACGCTTACTTATTAAATGATTTCGGGGTTCAAATCATGATCATTTACAATAATATTGTATAAAAGTCGTAAAATTGATGGTTTATACCGTTAACTTATTGGCATATTTGATCAAATGCATCTAAGGAATGATTTACCTCTACTGTGGCAATGAAATTAAACAAAACGATGTGTGATTGAGCCTAAGACAAAACCAGTGCTTTTACCGTCATTTCTGCTTCTCACCTCTCAAACCCACGGTGTCCGAGAATTGTAGGTCCGATTTGATAGCGATATCATTTTTCAAAGCGTGGATACTTGCTTGTAGTTGCTCATTCATGATACTTGTAAGACGAATCTTGAGCGGGAAGGAAATAGCTCCTTCTCCTTCGTTTGAGAAAAAGTTGTCGGAAGTTTTTTTCAGACAAATCCAGTTTCCTTTCACTCGTTCAAAGGCTTCGATACCCGCAACAGGAACTCTAAAAACACAGTAATTGACCAAATAACAAAATGGATACGATTGTTATACATGTAAACTCGAAATGCCACTTTTCATATTTCCAAGAAACCTTTGGAAGTAAGCTCTCCATTAATCTTAGTTTTAACTGTATACTTTTTTAATTCTTAAAAAAAAAAACCTACGTTTGTTTTAGCAGATGGATTATACCCTGGTTTTTAACTACCTATATTCCGTCCTTTGTATGAAATGGAGAACCAGAAAATCCCACCATGAGTAGGGAGATGAAATAAAGATCGCCAAAGCAGTGCTGAAACAATTGGATTTTCATCCTTGACTGTTTATCAGATATATTTGCTTGAAAATGAAAATCCATTGCTTCTTTTGTAAGCGTGGTAACAGAAATACCCAACAATGAGTACCGGTAAGGTGGATTGGAATACGCCATCGCTATCAATAATGGTGCTACTCAAGGTACTTAAGCACGGAATGTTATTAAAGATCAAGGCTAAATTTAACAAAAACTTTGCAAGTGTAATTTAAGTGTAAGTATGGTTTTTAAAGCTTAATAAAAATAGCTCCGCTTGTAAATCACACTTGTAAAAGTTTTATAAGATCGAACCCCAGCAGTATTGGTCAAATTTTCACCATAGATAGCACACAATGACCATGAAATACAAGATGAACAAAGCCAATCAACCTACTTTGCGTTCGACGCTTGCAGTTTGAAGTACATTTCATTGCTGCCAGTAAAACGAAACTGGATGAATCCTGTAGGACCTTTTCCTGTAGGGCAGTCAACAGCTTTGAAAGCGATAAGCCACAATCCGCTTCCACTCTGTGGAGGGAGAAGGGCCAAGTCTCCTGCAGGTGTCAAACATGACAGAACTCAGCCAATATTTTCTCGTGACTTCATCACTGGCTTTCCAGTGAAATGACGTCTTAGGAGGGCGCAGAAATTCCCTACTGATGGCGTATCACTAATATGGGTAGTGCTCCTCGTTGACTAAAACTTTGCTTCAGTAAAATCACATCAGGGTAGTGACACGTCATCAATATGGAAATTCTGTGCTGGTCTCTGAGACGTCATTTCCTTCGTGGGGAACCCAGTGGTGGAGTCGCAATATGTCAGCTGTCACCTCAGGGTACAAATGTGAGGGAAACGATACATAATGAAGGATGGTGAATTTTAGAGCTTGGTTAAATGAGATATTCTCCGATTTGACAAGTCTAGACGTGAAAAAAAAACTCGAGTCCCTGATGGTTTTTGTGGCCATGGAAATTTAATCTTTAATCGTGTCGACATCATAATAAACGTTTCATTTAATTTTCGTATATTATCAGTTAGGATGCTATCAAGAATTGGAATGCATGTAAATTGTGAAAGTCGGTCATATTTCTTTTTTAACTTTTTCTATATGCGTTGGCATGAGGCAATATTTCTCCTTTTTTTATATATTGCGATGGTCAACAAATTTGCATAAGCTTTCCAATTTTTCGAGTATTTTTTCTGTAGGTCTTCTTAAAGCGATGTATGGTGCTCGAGATTGGTCAGTGGTCCGCTGAAGAAACAATTTTTTTCCAAAAACAATGCCCACAATACTTTGGATCTAGAACCACTAACACGAGTGAGGCCCATGTTGCACCAATCACAAGCACCCACTACTGGCAGACCAGCAGACCAACATTACACGCAGTGGAAATTAACGCCCGATAAATATATTTTGCGCAGAAAATTTATTCCTCGTTGCATGATTACTTTATCTACTCAAATAGGATTGTAGAATTAAAATCAAAATAGTTGTAAAAGTCCCTTCAAAAACAAGTAATAGGCGATAGTATACCTTGGCTTATAGTGTCGTCCTGGTCGACCACAATAGCGTTCAAAGTTCCTTTGACAGGTGGGGCACCAGCCAGGTCAGCGGCAGCGGGTGTGCCACTGCCATTTATCATTAAGCAAACTCCACAACCCAGTGACGACTGGAAATCATCTTTGGAGGCAGCAACCTTAAGCATCCCTGGTGTCTTGGCAACAGATGGAGGCAAGTCCAATAATGAACACGCGTTTTTTGCTCCTTTCACATATCTTGCCTGGTTGTTTGATAGTTAGCAAAAAGAAAAACAAGTTGGCTTTGCGCTGTTCTGTTGTAAAGCACGCTTAGGAAATGGTAAGAGTACAAAGAAGTGTTGGCGGAAGCACGAGTCGTAGCCGAGTGTTTGTCCCTATTTCTTGAGTGTTCCAGTCGCTTCCTAAGTGCTTTACAACAGAACAGAGCACAGTCAAGGCTTCTTTGTTTGTTTTATGATAAAGAATCCGTTAAATCCGAATGCGTTACTTCTAATTTTTTAAGTAGACTATTGAAAGATGGCGCGCCGGCTTTAGCTCCGTGTTTTATTAGAGTAATGATCTTCAGGAGTGATAAATTATTTCTCAAGACTTCACTTCTAGTCAAGATGAGGCAGTCAGGTCAAAGGAACCTGTATCGGGGATGTCAAGCACTGGCTTTGATCCGATAAACTTATGCTCAATGAAACCGAATTTATTGCAATAGCATCACGACATCAATAAAAAAGACTGCTGTTAACTCCATCAGGGTAGCGGATTGTGATGTCGCCAAAGTGAATATCGTAAGGAATTTGGGTACGTGGTTCGGTGACCAATTTACTTTCGCATCCGGAAATACCTATCAATGGATACCTCCAGAACTCTTTTTCACTATTTCGTTGGTAGCCGCACTGTAATTTTCAGGGAGTTATAACTCCTCTAGTGGGGCTAATTTAACTCCTTAGAGTGGAGTTATTTTTCGTGGAGTTATTTTAACTCCAAAAAGGAGTTTAAAGAACTCTTTTTCAGGAGTAAAAGTAAACCCAGATATTGAGGAGTTAAAATAACTCCAAAAAAGGAGTTATCCTGTACCTAAAATTTTTACTCCACTTTCAGAGTTAAATTAACTCCAAAAAGAGTAAAAACAACCCATGTAAGTAGCACAAGTAACCCCAGTTCGGAGTGATTTTAACTCCAGACTGGGAGTAAAAAGAACTCTTTTTCAGGAGTAAAAATGACCCCAAATTCGGAGTTAAATTAGGAGTTAAAATAACCCCAAAAAAGGGGTTATCCTGTACCTAAAATTTTTACTCCATTTTTGGAGTTACAATAACTCCCTAAAAATTACGGTGCGAATAGACTACTGTAATAGTCTATTATATGATCGAACCTAATTAAGTATCAACTTGCCAAGTTACAGAGAGTTCAAAACTTGTCTTCAATTACACTGGTTACCTGTTTCATTTCGCATAAATTTTAAGATTTTACTTTTAACTTTCAAAGCAATTCATGGTTTAGCCCCTTCTTATATTAATGATCTTGTTAAACTAGATATGGTTTCCTGTCTGACAGCGGAATACTGCTGTCACAACCAAATTTTAAAACTTCAACTACCTTGGGCGGCCGTAATTTTGTTGCCTCGGCAACTAAACCTTTGAACAGTCCGCCTTTTAAAATTAGAATGGCTACATCTGTTGACCACTTTAAAAAACGTTTAAAGACTTATTTTTTAGCAGGGCTTTTTCTTGGTAAGATAAGTGCATTGTGACATTATTTATTTACTTATTTATTTATTTATTATTTATAATATCTATTTTTAACTTTATACCTTTAGCCTTTTTAACTATTAGACTTTTAAACTTTTAAACTTGATGTAAGTTTTCTTTTTTTCTTAGTTATTCTATTCTTTTATCCGTGTAATGCGCAGTTGTTCACCACGTCATGTAAACTGCTCAATATAAATTTTTGAATATTATTATTACAAAGATTCTTACACACCAAGAGATTATTAAAACTTATAAATTTCAAGACTTGATAATAGAGCTGCACTGACCTTTCCTATGGACGTGCTTACAAATCGGTTGTACATAGCCTTGACATTGTTCAGAGTAGTATCTCTCTTCGCGATAGACTCATCATTCTGATAATAAGCGCACAAGAAATCTTTAGTAAAATATTTTTTCGGTTTACAAGCTGAAACCATTTTTCAAATAATAATAATAATAATAATAATAATAATAAATAAATAAATAAATAAATAAATAAATACATAAGTAAATAAAGGAAAAGACAAGGTACAGAAGGTCGCTAGCCTTTTGGCGACATTCAATAATTCGTACATCATGTTAGACTGATTAACTACCCAACGGCAACCATAGTGTTATGTTGTAAGGCGGATACATACAGAAAACGATAAAATTAGGCGGTAAATTAAAGCAAATATCTTATCTCAGCATCAGGGTCTTCTTGTTACAACTCCAGTTACTTACTAATCAGTAATTTGTCGTTTCCGATTGGCTCCAATTCCCTTACTAATTCTTCATAACGAACTGGTGCTTACCATATTTGGAAGATGTGAGCAATATACGTTCGATTCTATGGTATATTTGATTGCGAACGAGGTTGATCGATGGTGTATTGTCCTGGAAATGAGGCTGCCTGGACATTACAGAACTAAAACAAATGGCGTTCACGGCTATCTGAAGACGAAAGAATTCAATTTTCTGACTAAAATGAACGGAAGAAATGCAAAAATTAAAATATGCAAAACGTATTGCTCAAAATATGTTATCAACTCGTCAAGTAGTATCGACAAGAAAATAACATCTGTTTATATGCTGAATCCGTGCCGAGAATAAAGCCAATTTTTTTTTAAAGAAAATTTACGAGGCGGTAAGCTTGATAAGACCTTAGGAACATTTTGAATGAATTATATTTAACAATAATTAAATTCGGCTTTCGTAAAATTTGAAGAATTATGCTGATCTAACCTATCATTCTCAGTAGCCTCATTCAATAAAATGTCAATTCTTTACGGCGTTGAGACTAACGTGGGAAATCACAATTACACTCGGTGCACTCACTGGATATGGATTCTGCATGTTTAGGTTTATTACAAGAGGGATATATACAAAAATGAACAGCCCAATGCGCGGACCTGCTGTAAAAAAGTCCTCTTCTAAAGCAAGTGATAATTATCATCGTTTAATCTTACCTTTTTATCCCAAGCCAAAATTACTGAAATATACATTGTTACTACCAGGAAGCGCATAATTGCGCTCTGACAAAAGTTGGAAGACATTGCTTATCTAGTTGTAAAGAAAGTAAACCAAATTTAGCTTTCAAACAATTTTTTACATTTTAAATACAGTAAATGCTTACATAACCTAGCTTTCTATCAAGAGACCATCTATAAGACATAAAAAAGGTCGTGTGAACAAACCGGAAGTTTATGTCCGATTGATTTATTTAGTAATAATCCAAATTGAAGAGACTCAGAAACGAACGAAAAAGGGATAAAAACTCTCTTCTATGAAAAGCTGAACGCACGTTTTAGCGAAATGCGTTTCCTCCAAAACTGAAATCACCTGTCTTTGCAGCGCTCTTATGCTTGGAGTTTAGTTTTATACAGCCTGGTGATTGTTTTCGCTTCTCACGGTGCGTCGATTTCTCCTCAGCGAGGAAATCCAATTTACCCTACTTATTTGCCGCGTTTGAATTTGGGGCCGCCCTTTGAATCAATGACAAAACTAACTTGAATGACGACAAAAACATTCGCAATTAAATCTATTTGTTGAAATCAGGTTGAAAAGTAGGCAATTACTTAGTACTTTTACCTGTTTATGCGACATAATTTAAGTGGCTTAGGTACTGGACGAACTGATGCTCATATTTTCGTGCTCTTGTGATTTTTTGTTTTTGGAAAAAGCCACGAAGAAATGAAAAAAAGAAATCTCATATAAAGCGAAGTCTTGTGAAGCATTTATCATAAATGAAAGCATTCAAGTCATTCAAGTGAAATTAAAAGTGATATATTACTCATGAAACCTTCTCGACAAGCGAATGAAATTACTTTTTTCGGCTAGTAAGTTTTTCTTACCTTTCTGAGTCATTCACATGTTCCAGTATGCGCGCACTGAAAAGAATAAAATGGAAGATTTAGATCCCTTTTTATAAAGCCTATAATTAAGAAATTGCTTTGCCAATTTGAAGTAGTAAATAACTGCTACCAGTTCTTGTTGTACGTCAGGTCAAAAGGGCGCCACAGTCGCTTCACAAAGCAGGTCCCCGTTATAGTGGCAATTCTACGCTAGTACTTGTTCGGCAAATCAAGATTCAGTGACCCCATAAGCTGTTTCATTGTTAGGTTAACCCATTTATGTAAAAAGATTAGTTATTGCGGGCGAGTAGATGAAACGAATCCCAGTGAGTTTTGTTTGGCTACCGGAGCGTGCAAGATAGGCCCATCCCAGACGATTGAAACCTAGTAATATTTTCGAATTCAATAACGTCATAAACTCGAGTTCAGGCTTAAGGGGACTTTCCAAATCAAATTGCAGAGAACAACTTTCTGTTTTCAGTTTTGCTGGCGGTAATTTGCACTGTTATTGCATGCATTGAAATGACTGAATATTTCGATTTAGCCATGTTAGAAGTAATTAGCTTTTAATAATTAATCTTATACAGATTGTGGAATCGTTTGGTTCGAAACGAAGTCGTCTAAAACGGTTTCGTTCTCTACCCTGCGCAAGACGATTTTGAGTTCGTCCAGGGCGTACAAGTGCCTGATGGAACAATATACGGGAAGGCCTGGCCATCGGAGAAAAAGAACAAATGTTGGCAAATGTAAGTGGTGTGGAATGTGTGAATCAAAACTGGAGACTATTTCCTCCCAAGCCTTTTCTTTATTTCTAATGGCAAGGTTGAAGGAAATTGGCCAACTTCTTTTATCTCTTTTTTTTCTCGATCAAACGAAGTCGAAGTCCAAAATGTTTTTACCACGATCATACAATAGTTTGATATACAATACCGACATTTAATGTCAGATTGGGCTTCACATCTGCTTATTCTGCGAACATCACCTTTGTGAAGCAAATTGTGTTTGGCAGTAGAAACTGAACGGTTTGCCAGACTGAGTTGGAAAAGAAAACATGAATTCACACTCCCCTGACATTAAAAAAGAAAACTTTCGTAATTATTCAAAGCTTAATCCTTTTGAAATATAAAACATTAATAATCATAATCTTCATCATTGATTGCCAAATAATTTACCAAAGAGTTACTCTGGAAAGAAATTTACCGGTGGACTTAGAATTATTTCGAGTAATCTAGATACACAGACGTATCAATGGACGTAGCAAATTGGTATGTACAATTTGATCAAAACTTCTCACATTTACTTCTTTTAAGGCTAGCTAGACCCTGCCCTCCTAAATAGAGAGCTTATTTGAAATTTATCTAGATTCACCTTTCAAGAACCTCTATGGAGCGGATTAGCACGAATTACAAAAATGAGTAATTTTCAAAAAACTTGCCTTCGTTTTAAATCAAGAAGACGGTTAGGACAAACTCGAAAATGACCCGGGCTGAGTTAAATAAAGAAACCTGGCCTTGCATTAAGAAAAAAGGTATAAAGAAAAATATTCAAGCATCAATCGGAAATGAGCTAACTCAAGTATATTATTTAGAGCTCTCGAAATACGTGTATTTAATGTAGCATTTTTACTTGCGGGACGTCTATGCGGAGCACGTACATTTTCCAATTTTTTAAATGGACGCTTCTTGACTTTTTCAGTCGATGTTTAACAAATGTAAGCGAATTCGAATGCTGGCAAAAACATAATATAAAACATTAAAGTCCTTTTTTTAAAAAACAATTTACAAGATAGGTTACGGAAAATTATATCTAACGGCTTTAGAAGATAAGCGACATTATCTGACGAACAACCGTGACAAATCAATGTAAAAAAAAATATATCACAATCAACTAGACCAAAAGAAAGAGAAATAAAAGAAAAAGTTCGTGTTCAATTCCAATATAATTGGGTGTTAGCCAAGTGCTACATATGTCATTTGTTAACAGCAGGTGGGAGAACGGATTAACACCGCCCAATTCCTGCTCCTTCAGGTAATAGGGATTTTTTTTATAGCAAAGAACAGGCACTGCAAAGGCAACGGTAACCTCACTACCAAAGAGGCGTGTTTCAAAAATGTTGTGGCGATTATCCCAACTCGTAGAAAATTCAGAATTTAATTTTTGGGGACCGAATCCAAGCCTACTGGCCACGTCCACACGAATGTGGATATTTTTGAAACAGCACAGAATGTTTAAATCATATGGCAGGCAATTGGCCCTGCATTTACAAAAAACCAGTAAATCCGCTCACCGAAACTTCACCTTTTTATACCACGTTCCAGAGTTGTTTAGGACACCGTCCACAGGAGTCCGGGTTTTAAAATTAAAAAATTATCTTTATCTTAACTTTATCTTAAGGAAAGTGATGAGACCAGCAAGCCTCTCTGAAACAGTGTTTCTTCAAATCGTGCTTTGTCTGGCGCTCACTTACAGTGTCAAGAGCCAGGGACTGTGCCAAAACTTTTACTTTGTGTTGAACAATCACGTGGTCGATGGACATGCCCTTGAAGGACATGTTGTGCAAAGGCGCACCGTAAATACCGCTGCACAGTGTCACGTGATGTGCAAAGACAACTGCCAGTGTGTCTCTTTTAACTATCTACCAAGTGACCAAGAAAACAACTGTGAGCTGAATGATGCTAATAAGGTGATGAAACCAGATGCGCTTAAAGTCAAATCAAGAGCACAGTACTATGGATTGGTCAGAAGCTACATTATGGAGGTAAATTGAACGTCTTTTAGGGCATTTATCTGACAGGCTGTGTCGTTCGAGGAAAGTGAAAAACAGTCGAACCTCCCGCTAACGGCTACCTGTCAGTCTTAACATTGACTCTTGCTTAAACCTGTGTACAACGGCCACTTTCCTTTCTCCTTAACGTGGCCATTGTGGGTAGGTTCAGCTGTATCTAAACACTTGTTGCAAACGGCGATGAATATTTTTGACTACACTACACAGTCTTCATAAAAGGGTTGCACCAATGGTTTTTCTCCAAATCGTTTCATTAGAGCCTTATCTACCTCTAAAACCGAACAGAACCAGTTCCAGCCAACTAAAAACTAACAGAGTAAATTCACTCCAAGCCAAGCTAGCAAGCTACACTGAACTACAGCAACTACACCAAAGCACACTAACCACTCTAAGCCAATAGCAAACTACATGCCATGGTGGGCATATAGGACGCCTAATACGGCCTCTTATAGCCTGCTAGCAAGGTCTCCTTCTCGCGACTTCCACAAATGGAGAGCTTGCTGGCAAGCTAGGCTTCCTAGGGAACTTCTTTTGCAGTTTTTATCCGTTTGTGTTCAAAGTTTGCAGGATGGTAGGAGTTAGAGTTCTAAACAACCGCATGTTTTTTTTTTTCGATTTTTAAAAATCATCAGTGGCAAAATCTGAGTTTCAACTATGATCTAAAAGATAAATAACTTAAAGACCACGACGCGATAGAATAACTGGCGGCACTGATAAAACCTAGCACTAAGTTACACCAGTAATTAACAAAAGCTTGTTCATTTGTTTCAATCATAGTTGAACTCAAAGATAAATTCCTTTCCCATTGTTTGAAAATATCTTCTGGAGATCACATGCAGATTATAGGAGATCTAATCGGCGCTGTTGAAGTCAAAGTGTTGACAAGCCAAACACATATGTACAAGCTTGGTAGAGTTCAGTGCGATAGGTGACCACAGATTTTTGCTCCGGACGAGAATCTAGGAGATAAGCGTTGGCTTTTTGTATATTTCTCTCTGTTAAGGCTGGATTAGATGTCATCTGCTCATAAAGTTGTTCTTTGGGTGATGCAACAGTGGGGTTACCTTGTAACTGAAATCAATAGTCCACTTCCCAGATCTGGAAGTCTGCTGTGATCGGTCTACGTTTTTTTCGCTCACATCAGCAGACGTTAGTGGGGCAGGAATGCGTGACGAACCCCTAAGAACGTCTGCGTGGGAGGCTATGATGTGGCCGACCGATTCAGCCATTCTATGCCAGTCTCATCTCCCGTAGTTTCATACTTATCGACGATAACCCCATGGCGCTAGAAGAATTTGAAAATCTCTACACTGCGCTGCGCTCTTCTCTCAAGTGAAAGATTTCTTTTGCTTTAGTTCGCAGATTAATCTTTAATATTAGGTAGAAATAGTCCAGTCAAATTGTGATTTAATATCACACTAATTTGCTACATAATTTTTTTCCGCGCCATTTAATTGTTGGATGGCTACTTAACAACATACTAAGAATCCGCCAAAATCCGTTCGGTGAAACATGACAAACTGATTGGCAGTAAAGATTTTCTACTTTCTCCACAGGAAGCCCAGTTACAGGAAAATCACAAATGCAGGCAAATCACCTGTTAATTGTGTTGTTGTTTTTTTTTCTTAAGAATCTTAGATACAACCTTGCTGATGTGTATTCTGGGTAGTCTTGTTTTAAAATACTCCGAATCGTTTAAGAAACACCTGGGTTTTTGTTTCGTCTTGACGGCTTTGCACAGGTTACCCAGTCACGCGTCTCTCTTCACATTCACAGTTTTCCAAGCGTAGATTTTTTCTATTACGGTATTTCAAAGGGAAGTTGGACAGTCTGTGTTAAGATGGTTAAAAATATGAATTATTTTTATTTTATAAATCAGATTTTTTTTCACTAAACAGTAGTTTTAATGGCTGATATTTAAAATATCACATCAAACTGTTTTCCATCATTTGCCTACTAAATCTGCATCCATGCATGCTGCAGGATACGTGCGACTAAATGTTTGCAACGGACGATAGCTTTGTATCAGTACAAACTGTTTAACCTGTTCGTCTTTGTTGTAATCAAGTTTTGTGAAGTAGGTATGTTCAAAACTTGGACACAATATGAGTGATCGAAAACTAGGATATTTCTTTATTTTGCGACACGCGCCACCTCCTTTCGTCTATTATATTTTACAATATGAGTGAATAAATGTGATTGTTCTTTTTTTAATATTGTTTTTTTGTAGCGAGTCTCAGATTTAGTTTAGTGTATCTGTGTGTTCAGTTTGTTTTTTCTGCGGCAGCCCTACTTTTCTTGGTGAAATGAATAGTAGCTTTATCGCTCCTTCGTCTCAAGGCGTTTACATTCCCTGCTGAATTTTTTTTTTGTGAGAACTACCCCGAACCCTGACCATTCGGCAAATGAAGACCTCTTTTTCTATAACGTTCATGGGATCCGCAGTTTATGTCTGAAAATAATTGCAGTGGTTAATGAAGGCGAGAAAGTCACAACTAGACATGCTTCTGGCTCACCTCTTTTTGCGGAGGCTGTTTTTATCTTCGGTAGAGCGTTGCGTAACATGGCTTCAACTCACTGCATGCGAGTTCCATCAATCATGATAGACTCTTACAAGATTTTATATATGCATTTCTTCGGCTACCCAGAGTTAATCTTTCTCTCAAAAACTGCTTCCCTATTATATTATTTCGTTTGACATAAAACAAACTTTGCTGGAACCAAAGTTCTCATTCGATGAATCTTCCTTTATCCTTCATTATTCTCTTGGCGAAAGTAACAACACTTTTTTCGTAAAGGAAAACCGGTTATTTCCGTCAGGTCTGATCGAGTTCATAAGCATTGGATATTAACCTGCTAAAAACCTTTATATTGCTTCATGTGCATCGTAAAGAATGAGTAAAAGTACACTCCGCTCCGCTCCAATTCACTTTTAACAAGAAGATAACTAAAAGCTTCCTGTCACTGTAGGTGACACAGTGGTAAAGACGAAATCAGTTGTGCGAAATCTTGGGTCATTGTTTGATCGTAATCTAGATATGTCATCACACATAAGTAAGCAATGCGCCTCGGCACTCTATCATTTGCATAATATAAGTCCGATCCGTAGGTTTTTAAGTAAGATACCACTAAAGCCCTCGTACATGCGTTTGTTACCTCGCGCGTAGATTATTGTAATAGTCTTCTATATGGCTTGCCAGCTTCTCACCTGAATAAGGTTCAGCGCGTTTTAAATACCGCAGCAAGACTAGTTTGTCGCGCGCCACGCTACTGTCGCATAACGCCGTTGCTGTACGAGCTGCACTGGTTACCGGTTAGGCAACGCATTAGTTTTAAGATTCTACTATTTGTTTTTAAGGCCATCCATGGATTCGCGCCAACGTATTTAAGAGAACTTGTGTCAATTAAAAGATCAGGAAATTATAATTTAAGATCCTCTCTCCTCGGATGGTTTGTTGCTTGCAACGCCAACTTATAGAAGTAGGGTTACATTAGGAGACAGATCATTCCAGGTCGCAGCTCCGGCACTTTGGAATGTATTACCGCGTGAGATTCGTTCTATTACAGATTTAGGGATTTTTAAGTGCCATCTGAAAACGCACCTCTTTAGGGAAGCTTTTTATTAATTTATTAATTTATAATTTTTGTCACGATGATTACTAGTATCTTAACATATGTTGTATATTTTAATTTTTATCATGGTATATTTTAAATAATTAGTAGTTAGATACCCTGTATTAAATTATTATAGATAGAAATCTTGTAATGCGCGTGAGCATCATTTTATGGAAAGCGCGCAATATAAGAATTAAATTATTATTATTATTATTATTATTATTATTATTATTATTATTATTATTCTTAGAAAATGAAAGTTGTGTATTTGCGGATGCCGGCACGTTAACGAAAATTAACGCATAGCTAACCGTTAAAGCCAAAACATTATCTAGCTGGATTTTTGAAAACGTACGTAAGGAAATTGCAATCGCAGAAAAAGACCAAAAGCCGGAGACAAATGAAGAAAGGAAAAAGAAAAGGAAAGGAAAAGGAAAAAAAAATAGAAATAGCAAAGAGAAAGAAAGGATGAGAAGAAAAAAATCAACGACTGCACTCTTACTTTTTATGTTGAAGCACCTATTCTTTTTTTTCTAAGTTTTCCGTAAAAGAGACACACATTTCTTTTTTTTTGCGTTTTTCATTTGAATGTATAATTTCAACTTACGTACGTGGGTGTCCTGTGTTTAAAGCTCAAAATGTCTAACGCTCATTTTTGACATGTTTCACAGAACGGATTTTGGCGGATTTTTAGTAGATTGCTAAGTACCCACCGCTACTTAGATGGCGTTGAATAAACTCTGTTGCAACTAGTTTGATGTTGAGCCTCAAAAATGCCTGGATTGACTGGACTAAAACAAGAAAAAAAAATACAAGCAATATGATACTAAATAAATACAGTTTTCTTTGTGAACAGAGTGGAAAGAAATACACTCCAGAGAAGGATCGTTGTGTTAACAGATGTTGTCAACCTAATCCATGTTTTCACGAAGGGAGTTGCCAGGAGATTTGTGATCCCATAGGGGCCAGGTTTAATTGCACCTGTCCCGCTAATTACGTCGGTACACGTTGTGAGCTCAGGTGTTATTCAAGCTGCAAAGACGTTTTTCAAAACAACGTGACCAAATCTGGAAGATACGTAATCTGCGATGGGCAACAACTGCCATTTTACGTTTACTGCGACATGGAATCTGACCCTAAGTTTCTATGGACTCTTATACAGACATTTTCGTTGTCGCACAAACATTTATTTGAAAACAAGCCATTTGTCATGAATCATCCTATCAACATGAAGAGCTGGAACGTTAACTGGACAGCCTACCGTTTGTCCTTGCCTCAAATGCAGTATCTCAAAAAGCAGTCGACTCGTTTGAGAGTCACTTGTAATTTTGCAAACGAAGGACTTGTATACACTGACTACGCAATTGCCCCACTACAACAACATAGACTATTCTCGATCTTTTCTCACCAATGCAAGTGGTATTATCATCTCAACATTCGAGGAATCCAGTGCTCGGCATGTACTGCAGTAACTAATCAAAGAGAGGGCCGTTCTTGGTTTATCAACAGCTACGCAAGCAAATATGAGGCTGGGTGTACCTTTGATGGCAGACCAGGCATGAGAAAACAAGAGCACAATTTCGGATGGTATAGGGATGGCAGAATAAACTCAAAACACCGATGTTCATCTTCTCTTTCTTCAACAACCGAACACTGGTTAGGTATAAGCAATTCTTAAATTTGCTGTTTCTTTTCTTCTTAAAATATCTAGTGTACAAAGTCATGTCCGAGATCCTGGTCGTCCGTAAGAAAAAGTAACTCGTTTTCATTTTGAAGTTTAATTAAGAGAGAATCAGTATCGAAATATATAACCAAACCAACCAGGCGTCCTAAAGTTGGCGATTTGAGACGGACGGACTTACCCTGTATTGGCGTTTTGTGCCATAAATGTCTGTTAATTTTGGCCATTTGGTAGCAGATTTGGTGAGTTTTAAATTTTGGATAAAAAATTGTTGATCGATAAGGGGTTTTGGATCAACAAATATTGAAGAAATATATTAAAAAATGTGTGACTCTGTGTTTTATCACAAGATGAAAAGTCACAGTATTACAGTATGTAGAAGGCAACACAAGAGCTGCAAGGCCAGGAGGCATTACTAAAAATAAAGGTGAAACAGTAGATGGCTGTTAGGTCTTCCTCATTTGTGATAAATTGTTCACAGTCCCCTTCTTTTCCGCCAAGATCGTTGGGATCTAGCACCGAACCTAACGAGTGACCATCTTGGTTTCAAGTGTATCGAGTTTAGCCTAGGCCTGGCGATGCATGAGTATCAAATCTAGAAGCCGGGGGATGGTTTCAAAAGAGGTGACAAAAATAGAGGTTAGGGTAAGGGTTAGGCTATTATTCTCGCCTCCTCCCCCATCGCTATAAACCCTGTAGCCCGCTTCCATCAGTACCTGATTTGAAACCAAGATGATCGTCCGTTATATACAGCTGGTTCGAGAAAGGTTGTCGGAAAAAATGTGCACGCGACAATCCCGTAAGGTAATATGGGATATGATCAATACACTGTCTCTGACACTGTAGCCATCGAACCTACTTTTGCTGCTTCGCTTTAGCACTCGGAAACATAGTCCATGGCCTCTCGTGCCATTCTTTCAAAATTTCTATGAAGAACAGTGATCTCCAAACCATCCACAATACCTTTTGGGATTGTCGCGTGCACTTTTTCCGACAACCTTTTCGAAATAGCTGTATACAGTATCGATCTCGATAGACTTTTGGAAAAAAAGGGGACTGTGAACAGTCTATATCAGTGGCTGAGAGTGATAGGAATGTCTCGGGAATCTCAAGGCCTCGTCCAAACTGCTCCACAAGATTCGTTTTAATTTTTTGCAACGACGGATACAATTTTTTAAAACATTCGCATACGGTTCATCTTTGTTAGCTGGACTTGAATGATGCACACGAAAAACGTATTGTACTAAATGGTCTCCAGCGTGGATAAGTTCTAGTAAGTAATAGATAAAATATGAGTAGACATCTGTATGGGAGTTATTTTACAGAGATTGATCGGAAGCACATGTCAGTTTTTAATTGCGAATTGGAAATGACACGATCAGTAGGAATCTCAATCAGATGTTTTAATGTATACGAGTTGCCTGGTTTTGTACTTAAAGTTAAATTCTTCTTTTAACCGCGAAAAAATAATAAAACTGAATCCGTGATCCAGAGGAACTGGGCTAAGAATATCAATAATTGACAGGAGGCAAACCAAAAGAGCTATTGATAATCATATGCTTAAGGTGCGATCATTCCCAAAGATAAAGAATTAGTATATAATTTGCGTAGGACAAGGTGTCACCTTCCTTTTATAAAAACGGAGAGTTACAAGAAAACTTTTGTAAATAGACTTATTTTAAATATAATTAAGTATAGTGTTACTCTATCTTATATTATTATTGTATTTTATCGTATATCTTTTAATACTTTTTCACTGTAACTTAGGATATGTATTTTTATCCTTTGATTGAATAAAGACTGTTGTTATTATTATTATTATTACTATTATTATTATTATTATTATTATTATCATTATTATTTTTATTATTATTATTATTATAATTATTTTTACAAGCATGGTTGATGAATCAACTTAGGGCTACCAAAAAGCAGATCAAACTTAGGGTCGGGAGTGTGGGGTGGGATAAACTAGGGGATAAATAAGTGGAGTGGGTACGATTTTCCACCACAAAGCTTCTCAGGATCGCCTGAGGATGCAGGTGAAGGAAAACAAACATGGCTCACTAAAGCTATATTGTGCCCCAAAGTGCAATTCAGTAGTTTTAGAAATAAAACTAACCCTCACTATTACAGAATTCCTAAAGATTGAGATTCACCCTGTATAACTTCTTCCGCCAGGATAACCTTGAAGACCGTCTGTCGTGGTTGGTTTGCTATCGTTCGCTATAGTTCTACTGTCCCTCCCGCTCCAGCATAGAGTTCAGTTCAATGCCCGCTAACTCGGACGGCGCGCAGCTTTCTAATGTTGCTCAGCATGCTCCTTCCTCTTGTAACTTCGCGCTCTTTGCTTGTGGACAATTTTAGCCCCATTTTTCAAAATTGTAATCCATATTATATCTTCTGCCATCTTAAATCGCTGTAGTTTTCCTCTTCTGGGAGTTTATAGTTTGCCAATATAAATTTTTGAGGTTCGCGACAAAAATGACTCGAAAGGTTTTTTTTTGTACAAAAAGGACTGCTCTTATAACGTGCTTAAATCCACAGATTTTTCTTTCAATTGCCTTAACTTATGTTGAATACTTAACGGCGTATTTGAATATATTTATTAAATGATTATTAACATAAAACAATGGCAAAAATATTGGTGGTTTTCTCTGTCACGCCATCGAAAACTAAAATCAAAACCGTGAATTGTCTAAAGCCAAGAATTTCAGATATTATAAAATATCGTTAAATTAACAACCTGGCCAAGTCTCACGTCTGTACAGTTTTCCACTGCTGAGTTGTTCTTCAAAATGTGTTACAGAAATTTATGGGGCTCACACTGGGGACGCCATATCTGTGCTCCACCGAGGGGCACAAATATGGCGGCCGGAAACAATACAAACATCTGGTTTCAGTATCGCCACAAATCTGATCAGTTGTTCACTGCGAACGAGCAAATTATACCCTTGAACACATTTTCTAATACTTTTGCAATTCAAGGGGCATAATATTATGCGATTTAAAATTATTTTTTAGCATGTGTGACGGCCTTCTCGGTCGTCATATTAATGTTACGCGGGGTAAACTTGGGAAATTAGAAAGAGCTATATTTTCAAAACGGAAAACGCTATCACGTTGAAACCTTGCACGGACGTTTATTTTTGAAAAATCTTCCGCTAGATGGACATAAAACCTTAAACAGTTCTTGCGATTTGGAGGTTTAGATTTTTGTGGCGTCACTTGAAAACCAAGAATAGCTGGTTACGAGGCTGTTACCAGCTATTCTTGGTTTTCAAGTCTCAAATTTTGAAAATGATAGAACCAGCACGTGCATGATGTAATATTTCTTATCGCTTCGTAGATTTAAGGAAGTGTTGTATGTTAGAAAGATCAAAAGAGCTACTCGTTTAATTTAAATAATGCTCCTGGGATAACCTGATGCGTAGCTGATTTGTTGAAACAACTAATTCTACAGTTGTGACAGCTGGCAAAAGATACTATTTGTACTACTTGACGCAGCCATGTCACCATTCAATGTCAGAAAAATGCATATAGTCTAACTTCAACTGAAAGGAACAAGCAAGCTACTTATAGCTTATTATTCCACCGCTCAAGGATAGAGACGGTAGCAATATTAAAGTGGTCAGAAAACTTACACATCAAGCATTTCTATTTTCTGCAAATTATTGTGAAGTTAAAAAAATGCTGTACAGTCAACTGTCTCCAAGACGGACACGTTTGGTACCAGCACTAAGTGTCTATCTTAGAGAGATGTCCTTCTTATAGACAGTCAAATAAAGGGAGTAAGGAAAGGGGTAGGGTTTTTTTGGATTTGTACATTTTTTGGACTGATTTTTGTATAGGGTGTTCCGAGGGGGGCTCAAGACATTCAGGGTTATTCCGGGGTTTCTTGAGGATGTTCCGAGGATGTTTCGGGGTGTTCAAGGGGTGTCCAGGGGTGTTCCGGGCTTGTCCCTGGTTTTAAAGACACCCTCCCAAGCATATTATCGAACGTTGAAGACAACAAAACTGAGCTTTGAAAACTGTCAGGCTAACAAGTTTTAAAAAACCACAGTGGTAATCCATATCAATCGTCATTAAGTTTGTAAATCCGTGCTTACTTGAGCATAAAATTATGGACATTTTGTGCACTTATTTCAAGAAATGCTTATTTTTCTTTTGCAATGTTCTCTTCCTGAACATCTTTGAGTTATGGAAGTCTGTAAGCGGTAGTTTGTAAGTTATAAAGATTGTTAAAAAAAATTGTTTGGCTCTAGAAATAACGAAAAGAAAACTTCACTCTTTGGAAGAAAACTATTGTAATCAATGCGGTACTTTTTTTTCTTAAGCAAACTAACTTTGCATTCGTAATTGTTGCCGTGCACTCTCTTACCTTCCCAAGCGCAAAAAGGTATCTACCTACGTAAGTTGTTTATTATAAGTTATTAATGACAATCGTTGGTTTAACAATTTCTTGTAAACTGTTTCCACTTGAAACTGAGAACAGAATTTACAATCAGTGCGGGAGAGCTCGTTAAGCTGTTGTAAGAGACTGGTATTGGTCTTCCAAACATATTAAAAAAACTCGGAAAGGAAAAGCCGGAACTCTTTCGTATTTGGCCTATATTATACGGAGTAATGCATAGAAACAAAGACCTCTCAAAAAGAAAAACGCATTCTTTAAAGTTTGTCTTTAATTGGGTTTATTTTTTTGTGATGGATCAGAAGAGCTCTTATTCCGTCCATTTAACCAGGGTACTAAAACAAGTGCTTTTTAACAAAAACACTTTTTGTTAAAAAAAAAACACAGAATCTTATTCAGTGCAAGCGTTCATTTTTTCTCCTTGTGTGCCCTTGACACGGTTAGAGTTTCAAAGACGGAAAGGTTTATCCAAAAAAAATGAAGACCATCAACAGCTGTGAAAACCAGTCGAATTCCTGTCAACTCAGAATGACATTAAGCAAAGAGTTTCCCTCTAGATACACACTTACAGGTAGAGACTGACTTATTTACCCAGCTATTCTTACACACTGTAGCCAGAAAGACGGCACGTATAAAACAACTCAAATGATGATAGAAAATTACGGTAAAAAAGCAGAACAAACAAGATTACCTTTAACGCAATGGTTACTACATTTTATAAGTTTATTTTTATGGATAGTCTTTAATATCGTATGTTGAATTTTTGATTTGGCATTTCGTACCTGAGAGAGCGCAGAATTGTTGAAGAAATTCTGATTTTCTAGAAATGAAACCCAAAAACACCTGTGGAAACATCCAGAATGTGAACTTCAAATATCGCTTGGTGACAGACAGTACCACAAACGTTTAGCTCTATATATTACAGAGAACCGTTTAGAAGGCCGGCTCATTTACAGTTACCAAAAGGGCAACAACATGAAAGCATTACTGTTTCTTTTCTCTCTTGGTTACGTGCTGCCTTTTGCAGTTCCTGAGTACGTTCGTGGATGTTATTACACCAACTGGTCCCAGTATCGGCCTAAAGGAGGAACGTTCTGGCCAGAGGATATTGACCCATTTCTCTGTACCCACGTGTTGTTCTCATTCGCCCAGGTCAGTCGAACAACTCACACTCTGGAAATCTATGAAGAAAACGATCATGATTTGTATGCGAAAATCAATGCACTGAAGAAAATCAACCCCAAGCTAAAGACCCAGATTGCTGTTGGTGGTTGGACTCATGAAGAGAAGGACAGTCCGTTCTCCAAAATGGTGGCCACTAAAGAAAAACGAGCTATCTTCATCAAGTCTTCAATAAATACCTTAAGAAACTTCGGCTTCGACGGTCTGGACCTTGACTGGGAGTATCCAGGTATGCGTGGTGGTTCACCTAAAAGCGACAAAGGCCGTTTTACACTCCTTTGCCAAGAATTGAGAGCTGCGTTTGAGGCAGAGGCCAAGGCATCTGGGAAAGAGCGTCTGCTATTGACTGCTGCAGTAGCAGCAGGACTTTGGACCATCAAAGGTGCCTACGATATTCATAATATTGCTGAGCCACTTGATTGGATCAACCTCATGACTTACGATCTCCACGGCACGTGGGAATATAAGACTGGACATCACACCGCCATGGGTCCAGAAGGTGACAAGCTGACGCTTCCATTTGCAGTCTGGTACTGGATGAATAACAGGGACACCTGGGAGAAGCCGGGAATCAGAAAAGGTATGCCAGCTAACAAGATTGTACTCGGCTTAGCAACATACGGAAGAGCGTTTGGCCTTGCAAGCCCATCGACTAATGGCCTTGATGTAGCACGTGATTATCAGTACACCCCCAAAGGAAATTATACCGGTGCTGAAGGATTCTTGGCTTATTACGAAATTTGCAACAGGGGTCTCACAGTAGTGGAAAATAACAAGGCAGAAGCTCCTTACGGATATAAGGAGAAGGACTGGGTGGGATTCGATACCCCGAAGAGCTTGATTTATAAGATTGACAACGTAGTGAAAAAGAACTCGCTCCGTGGCGTTATGTTTTGGGCCATCGACCTGGACGACTTTGATGGAACGCATTGTGGCCAAGGAAAGTACCCACTGATGAATGCTGTCAAGAAATATCTGACCACTGGGGTTCAGCCAACCTTTCCACCAGCTCCTGTAACCACAAAAGCTTCAACCCCGCCACCATTCAGTACGCAAGACCCACAGCCTCCCCTTGTGAGTACCCAGGCACCATCACCGGTTACGACAAACCCAGGTGGTGGAGGCACAGGAGGTCAATGTAAAGCCACTGGAGCCTGGACTGGCAATGCTAATATGGATGCCTGGTGCGTGTCAAACTGTGCCGTTGGGAACTGTCCATCTAGTATGTGCAAGTGCGATTAAAATACAGCACTAAGTTCAAAAAGGAAAGTGAATGAAAAAGATGTGATCAATTACGCAATAAATTAGATTATTATCGAGAGTTTGAAGTTCCTACTTTGTGTTTCTTCCAAGAAGTGTACCGGTTACCAAATATTGATTATTCGTTTACTATTAATTTTATTGAGGTTTTGTTTAATATTTTGAAATGTGTTTTGGCTGGGGGAACTGACTATCTATCCGTGAAATTTTGTAATCTAGACCGAATGAGGCTCTCCTAATATTTTTCCCGACTAAGATCTACTAAACCCATTTCTCACTTAAAAAGCACAAGATTGTTTAGCACAAAGGAGAATTTTCCAGGGTTTCACCTCTTTTATAGTTTTCATAAAATTCTACTCCACCTCTATAGCTCACCCCGGGTCAGCTGTCATCAAAACGTGATCTCTTTCAAACTAGTTTTTTTTTTAATTTTTAACCGTTTGAGCTGAGACTTTGCACGATAATAGAACTTTGCATTCTCAACAATCGTATTTTTTGGATTTTGGATTTTAGTGGTTTTTGGCGCGAAAATGACGTCATAAGATTGACAGCAAAAAGTAGTTTTCTACTTATGGGCGGGGACTGGGAATGCAAGCTATGGGGGGCGGGAAGTTTGGATCCCCGCCTTCCCCCACTTCCTTAATAGAATAGGTAGGCCTATAGCTTTCATGTTTCATGATCTTGATCTTGAACTCTTCGGAAAGCAGAGCGAGTCATTACCATGATTACTCTTGTGAAAGGAACCTCCAAAGATATTTGTATTTGCGATGCTATCGTTGTACCTTGTAGCAGCTCGTTATCCCCTTAATTTTGCTGTCACGGTTCAATTTTTCTCCTTCGTTTAATATTCATGTTTCTTTCCTTCCTCATTCAGTCTTTATTTTGAACAAATAGGGATCCATGAAAAATGGCGTTAAAAGCGGACTTATTTGGAGTTACGAGTTTCACCGTTCTTCCTGTCTCAAAATGTGCTTGTTAGAGAGGTCGTTCTGTGGGAGGAGGGTGCATTGTTTTGAATGAATAGAGTAAAAATACTTAATTATACGTGTCAAAAAATGCCAAATATGACCCGATTTGTTTTCACCAAATCCTTTGCATGGTAGCTGAGCCCGAGTTCACCATCAAAAACACGTTTTTGTGACGTCATCTGTGCGCAGCGCTAGTGAAATCCGTGCTTGTTTTACGTCGATCCTGTTTTGTTAGCAACTGAATGCAATATGCAACAGCAATGAAGAGGAGAATTGAAGGTAAAGTTTGAGAAGTGTTTACGTGAACCAAAAGCCTTAACAAAGAAAGTTTCCCTTCGTTGTGTGCTAAACTCTATCCGGGAAAACTGAAAGGAGGGGTGAATGGTTAGCCCTTGCTCACATAGATTGAATATTAAAAATCGAGCATCCACACTTGTATGGCGTTATCAAGTCTAATCAGTCTGTCTAATTCTTCTGGATTTTCTTTTATTTCATTAGAGCACTGATGGCAGTGCACATTAAGCCAGAACTGAATGGCTTTTGAATCTTTTGGACTGCATGAAAAAGGCAATTTTTGTGTTAAGATAACAGGGCAAGTACTCAATTCCAATCTACATTTTCTTCACCTGAATTAATGTTTAAATCCCCGGTTAAATTCATGCTTAGATAATTCTGGAGGCCGTCTGATAATTTGTATTTTATTTAAAAGTAAGGATTCTTATTGGGATGTGAAAGGAAAAGCTCTGTGGCCGATTTGTTACAAAGTTTTGCAAGGCCATATTCTCATCCTAAGTAACAGTCCTTGTTTGGCTTCCAGTCATGTGGCATTAATACGAAAACGAGATTAATTATTGACAGTAGATTAGCTATACGCACAATCTACCAGGGTATCATGTTCGCGTCCCATGCGGTTCAGCTAACCTTTTTTTTTTCTATTGCTGTTCACTGGTCTAGATTTACTGACAATGTTATGGACAACTGAGGTGTTGGTGAAAAAATAATAAATGAACAACAGCCTAGAGTAGTCTATTTTGCATCATACGGGGGCAAGCGGTTGTTGATGATAACAACTGGATTTTGCAGTATATCACCTTCAGTAGGCTGAGTAACATAATAGCTTGAGCTACAGTAATACTCTAATTTACTGTTTTTATTTTGTGATTGGAAGAAAGCTTAAACAAAAACCAGCGTAGCTTGAAATACTTCAAAGAGACATTTTCCCGTTACTCCATGCCATACTAAAATATCATCGGGTTTCTTCACGTTGACGCAGTTTACATTATCGGTGGTTCCTTCTTATGAAATTTGCGCATATATTTGGCTTTCACACCTGCTTTTTCCGCAAGCAAACCGATGTAAACATCGTCAATTTTAAACCAGGGAACAACGGCATATAAATCGACGAACAGATGAACAACATCAAAAGACAAGACAATTCCGTATCCAGAACAGAAGTCTGGATAGAATGTTTGATTATAATCTTCATACGAACCTTTCCATTTCCCTCTCCTCTTAACCACGGGCCCCTTAAAGCAGTGTCCAATGTATAGCTTTTCTTTAGGAATTTCAGGTTTAGCAAGAACTGAAATTAGCCGTTTAACATTAACAAATGTATCGTCGTCCATTTTTAAAAGAAACGAAAAATTACAGGACGTGGATGCCCACTCAAACGCCATTTGCATCTTAAGGGTCTGATTCCAGTAATGTTTGTAGTAGTCCGCGCGTATGAGGTCTCTGGTGCGTTCATCTTCTTTTAACAGTGCATCTGATTCCGTTTGGTTTCTCGTTTGAGCAACAAGAAAAAATGTCTTCCATCGCGAGTCTAGAACACTGTCAACCCCCCACGTTAAGCGGATTTCTCTCCTTCTCTGAACATTGAAGGGTGCGGATGAGACCAATAGTAGAAGAAAATAGGGCCGCCCACAACTGGTCGTAGTTATTAAGGTTGTCTTGTGCTGCAGTAGTTTTTCATTTGATTGCTGTGTGGAAAGTAAACTTGTCGGCGAGCTCGCAGGCGGCATGAATATCGCTAGCTCTTGCAGTTTTCATATTCTAGAACACGATACGAGCGTGAAAAGGTGGACTGGATATCATGTGAAATACGCCATCTCAGAAAAATACCAAGTGCTAGCAAGAGACAGCAGGTGACTTTTATCAGAATCCCTCCGCGGATCAGTAGGAGCATGGCCCGCTTCTGAAGAATGGCGTGGCCTAGCAGTTTCGAAAACCTGAAGAAAAGAAATTCAAAAGCAAGGACACAACAAGAATACGAATTACTTTGGGTCAAACTAAAATAAGAGATCAGAAAACAGGACTAAAACAACGCTCGAGTGGTATACAAAAGTAACGCACGAATGAAATAGTTCTACAGAAAAAGATTATCATGTTGATTCAGCGATTCTAGGTGAATTTGCTAACGTTACATCTTTGTTTAAATACGGTAGTAAAACTTATAGGACTCAACACCAAATTTCATTAATATCAGTAGCGAGCAAATTACTTAAGAAGATTGTTAAGTCGCATGTGATGGAGTCTTTGAAGAAACATCAATATTCTAAATCCGAACCAGTTCGCGTAAATTAGTCTGTAGTCTACTTCCAGTTGAACAGCATTCACAAGTGAGCCCAGAATCTGCCTTTTTGTGCTATCAGCAAAGAGATAGAATGAGAATTTCGCTGACGAGTTGTGAATATCGTTAATATAGATTAAGAATAACAGAGGACCAAGCACAGACCCCTGTTGGACACCACTTGAGGTCATACATTCGGTAGATAAGTTAAAACCTACTTCGGTTACTTGTGAAAGACCACGAAGGTACCAGGCTAACCAGTCATTGATAATTCCCCTGATGCCACAATGATGAAACTTTTGAAGCAAGATTATTAACCCTCGGACGTACACGCAAATTCATACCCCCACCGTGGTACAAGTAGGGGGAAGTGGATGGAACCCGTCCTCGGAGTTTTTGATATATGTTGCAGTATTTTGACACGATTTTACCTTAGTGGAGAGCCTTTGATCTTCTTAACAAGATGAGGTATATTTTATGGGTGGTGGTGCTGTTGGGGGCCTGTGACGTCACCAACAATGGTCGCCATCTTGACTGCCATCTTTGATTTTACCAAACCGCGAGAAATGGTGATTTTTTGAAAACAACACTTAAATAAGCACTTTGCATGACTTTAGCCGCAAGATTTACTTTTATTGTTTAAAAAAGTTGAAAAAACAAAAATGGCTTGACCACCTCCACTTATGACGTCATACCTCGTAAAAACTGACCATCACTAAACTTGACCCAAAATGCGCGCAAGGGATGATTGAACAGCTACTGAAAAGATCAGGTGCTGATGTTTTATCCTCTAGGAGAAAACTCAGAAAAACCTTGGGGGGGGGGGGGGCATCCATCCCACCCCCCTTTGTACGTCCCAGGGTTAAATAGTCGACGGCATCAAAGTCTAAAAAGATTCCGTAAGTGAAGCATTTCTGGTCCATAATTGTTCGCAAACTCAAGTCCTCAGAATAGCAACTTTATTTTTTTTCCTCGCGAAGTGAAGGTTTATGATTTTTTCGAAGTTCACATAGCGCTTGGAAAGTGCGTGAATCGCACAGCGAGGCACTGAAACACGAGTTGGCTTTGTCCACAATAACGGGCAAGCGACCATCTTGATCTGGTGTTGTGACTGTTTTTGTCGACGTATTTCTAGTTTACTCAGAACGTCAGTAGTTATGCTTCAGCAAAATTAACCCCAATTTGGGTTTCCCTTGGATTTCCCGCATACTAATTTGGATCTCTTCCATACTAATTAAGTGCCTTCCCTTTATTAATATGTATAACAGTCGAGTCTATGACGTCACCCATTGTTTCAACCTAGGGAAAAAGAAAAATTGCCTTCCTCCATACTAATGAGGGTCTTCCTGCATATTAATTCGGTATAGGTTTACTAATGAGCGTCTCTCTACTTCAATAGAAACAATAGGCTTGCCTCGACTTGCCCGTGAAGTAACTTTACGCTTTCATTGCCTATTTGCACGGCGTTTAGTCATCCGAGACCTCCACGAAACATCCACGCAGCGCGCGAGGTAACTTTATCCCGATTCTAAAAATAACTCGAGACGAATTACCTATGGAATAGGGTGTGTATGGGGGACGCCTTCTCTGTCCCCTTTATCCTCTCTTGCTAGCAATTATTACTCGCGTGTTTAATCAATTGATCCTTGTTATTTGTTTTTTAATAATACGTCAAGATTCTCCCTTGAGGTTTTTCCTGTAGAGCTAATTTGTATTCAACTTTGGGTTTGTGAACTCGCTTAATTAACTGACTAACGGCGCGTGGAACGTTGAGACTTCAATAGTTTTTCATTTCCTCGAGATAGAACGGAAAAAACAGTTCTATAATAGTCAGACAAAATTGAAATAGAGAGTATTCAGCTCCACTTTGTGTATATGTGCGTGTGTTTTGTTTATATATCCGAGTTTTAGCGCTAAATAAGAAGACGTCAACTTAATTGAAATAAAGACTTTTCAACTCCACTTTCTGTATGTGTTTAGTTTATATATCTGAGTTTTAGCGCTAAATAAGATATAGGAAGCCGTTTCTCTCGTTGCTAGGTGATCGCTCTTCTTATTCCTATTTTCCTTTCAATAGACGGTCCGAAAACCGGGCTCAAATTACTTCACGGGCAAGCTCAGGCAAGCCTATTGTTTCTATTGAAGTAGAGAGACGCTCATTAGTAAACCTATACCGAATTAGTATGCAGGAAGACTCTCATTGGTATGGAGGAAGGCACTTTTTCACTAGGTTATAGCAATAGGTAACTTCATAGACTCGACCGTTATGCATATTAATAAAGGGAAGGCACTTTAAAATTAGTATGGAGGAAATCCAAGGGAAATCCAAAATGGGGTTAATTTTGCTGACGCACGACTACTAACGTCGACATCGATTTTTCATCGAATGTTTGTAAAGTAAACGTTCACTGTGTTCAATTGTTTACATGTACACAGATTTTTGGGACTCCAACAACCGAATCGGCCAAGATCCCATAGATAGACTATAAACGGCAGTATATAATTTAAATCATCTTCTTTTGGCATGATCTCTCAAGGAGAGTGATATGAGAAAAAGAATTAATTTACAGAGGCTCAGTGGTAATCAAGCTTCAGTCTTGAAATCTCATTTGAACGACTAAGTCATTTGCTATGACGCTGCGACTTTAATACAGTTTTAGTCGAGCAAAGTTTTGATACGGTTCAATTAGTGACAATCTGTATTACACGGTCTCCCTGTAATAAGTGGACAGACGGCTCAGGGCATTTTCAGGGTATTTACTTTTTGTACATTAACTCGCTTGGAAACGGTCCAATATTTTTAGTTTTCACTCTGGTAGTTTTCTGGTTGATAGCAGAGTAAGTTTTCGATAGTTTTGAGGTAGTAGGTTGTCGAAGAAGACTTTCTTTAGTCGGTTCGAGTGTTTTGTTGTTCATAAATTGAAATGCACCTTCCCATTTCACTCAATATTCCTTCTGGTTTGAATCCCACTGGCTTCTTGTTTCTCCATTTAATAGTTAATTTGAGGGATAAGTAAAAGAGTTCTTAGTTTTAAGATCTTAGGGTCTTTTATTCGTTTTAGAGATCACCTGTAAGCGACGAGGATTAAAACTAAAGGCCCAAGGAACTGATGATCAAAACTCTAAACAAAAAGTCCATATTTACCTTGGCAAAGTGAATCCTGGGAAAGCAACTGGTTGAAGCTTGTCAATATAATAAGGCTGGAAATACGAAACTCATACTAACGAGTCTTTGTCCATCAAACGTCGCCTTGCTTGAAAATGCAGATACATTACGGAATCGCGCCTGTAGAAACGCGTCGCTAGTGAATGCAAATTTACATCGTTATTGTTTTGTAGACAACAGAAGAAGAAAAGATATCAGAAAGATCAAGTTATGCGGTCTTAAAGCTTGTTGCGCGACTTTAATCAGTTGCAGCATTTTTCATGAGGGACTTGTCAGAAATTAGCACGGGGGGGGGGGGGGGGGGGTAAAAGAAAAAGAGGAAAATGATATCAGTGTGTGTGTTTTGTGTTGTGGGTGGTGTTTGTGTGATGTGATGTGTTAGTTCATTAGGGGGGGGGAGGAGAGGAAGGGGGGGGGGGGGGGGGGGGGGGGGGGGAGGTGGAAAACAGGGGACGGTCACAGTTTTTTTAGCCCTTCAAAAGGGAGGGTTATGAAAAAATGACAGGAAAAGAGGGAGGTTCACAAAAAAAAATAGCCACCACGATCATGAACATACGAAAATCATGACATGCGATTATTTGCTGACACGCAGTTCAACCTCCATTAAGCGGCCACAGCCACCTTTTGGCCATCCCGAAGAGAGTTGTCTTTGTTGTTACCTATATCAAGCAGCCATGCATCAAGCGCTTGATGCACTTATTTTGGGTTTGTTTCAAGAACAAGATGAATGAAAATATAGTCCAAGATAGACGTTGACGCGTATGGGCCCATGGGGTCTGGATCATGGCTCTTGAGTGGCTGGGATGTAATGATTCTCGTAATTATCCGGCTACAGTTAGCCTTCATTTTGTTCTGTTTTGCTTTCTTTTTGCCTGCTGTTTTGTGACTTGCCCCTGGCTGGAGCATCACTTGAAGGGGTTCTCCACTGAAACAACGTTCAGAAGTATAACTTTTTTCGCGAAAATTGTCTAATCTTGTTGGGTCTGTCATTGCTTCGTATAGTCATTAAGAAAAAAACTGTCATTATCCCATAGAAACCAAAAACTTTCTTTTGCCCTGTTTGCCCAACAGAAAAAACACTTGCATGTTCTTCATAGGTCAGTTTTAAAATACAAGTTTGCTTTTTTGAAAGTACTGAATTATTTTCCCTGTGCCACTGTATAAGAAGTCGGACTAATCATTTATTCAGGGGAGAGTCATAGAATTTTAGGAAGCTTTCCAGGGGAGGGTCGGGACATTTTAATCCCTTACCTAGGGAGGGTCACTTTATTTTCAGCACTTCACTGAAAATCTCTACCTCCCCTCCCCCCTACTAATTTCTGACAAGTCCCTAACTTTCCCGCATTGAAACGTTGGAATAAAAAGTCTGAAGCTTAGCTTATAAAATCTTGATAGCCAAAAAAAAAAGAGTGCACAAAAAGGCAAGCATCTGGGAATTCAAAATCGACATTTTTGTCTCCAACGGAATCGGGCGGATGAACAGTAATTTTCATGTAAGAGTAAGCGAAATAAACACAACGTTTTGTCGAAGTTTTTTTCCTTTGAAAGCGTAAATTCGCATGAAAGAACTCAGCTTGCACAAAATAATATAAAACAAGAAATACGTGTCTGCAAAAATCTCGCGAAGCTAACAGGGTCAGCAGTAAGAATAAACAGTAAAAAGCCAAAGGGTAAAAAAACGATGAAAGAAAAAAAAAAACTGGAGGTAGCCACGCCGGGATTTAAACTCGCACCCCAACTTCCACCAGCGAAAAAAGTGCGGCTTCTGACCACTGGGCAATACGAGCACTGCTTTGTTACGTTTTAAAATTAATAGTGTTGAAGTATCTTTCTCTGCCATTCATACTGTTTGAACCTTATAGAGCTGTATTTATCATGAATTCAAAGATACATTTGAGGAAAAATAGCTCAAACGAGTATTTGAAAACCATTTCGCATTATTTCCGTGTTTATTCACTCTCGGGCTTTATATAGGCCGCTCTATTAACGGACTGGTGTTCTTCTTCGCTGCTTTCACTGAAGTTCAGGTCACCGTTCTTTCGGTGTTAAACCTTCCACGGTTAGGAATTCCAGCTATTTGTCCAATCGGGCACTGTTGTGTTTGCAGCCCGCTGTTATTTGCCTAAGAAATACTCAACGATTCGCCAACGTACAATAAAAATTGCCTAGTCCCTAGGCCTCATTATTATGCGCGGCCGGTGCGTTTCGGGTCATGTGGTCCGAGAAAGATTTTTCTCCCGGCCGTTCGTCTCGGATACGTCAGCGAAATGCATTGACCGAGAGGGCCTGGAAAGACGCTGTATAGGGACTAGGCAACAATAAACAGAGGATGAATTAAATGAGCCCAAGTCGCCTGGAAACCCAAAATGCACGATGACGTCTTGTTGAATGGCGTCTTTAGGATTTGTTTATGGCTAGTTGCTAGGTAACTGCGGATACCAAACAGATAGAAAGATTTATGACCAAAGCGAAATCGCAGTTTGCTTGCGATCCTCGCGTGATCAGCACGCTGCGCGCGCGGCAAAATAATACACTGGCTTCGCTCGCGACCTAACGGCCGCTCGCTCCGCGAGAATGAATTAGGATTTAGAATTAGAATGTATTCCGACGACACTAATGTTACCTTTTCTCCAGCTACTATACCTGATCTTGAGTTCCAAATCAATAGTGACCTGAAATATATTGATCGCTGACTCAAAGCTAATAAGTTAAGTGTCAATGTCGCCTAAACAGAGTTTATGGTTATTAGCTCGAGGCAGAAACTACAGTCCTTAAATGACTACACAATGAATATTCATATAGACAACGTCCCAACAAACCAAAGCAATCAAAGCAAATCTCTCGGGCTTATCACTGAATGCAGATGAAAATCTCTCGTGGAAGGCCCACATTCATGAAATCTCTAAAAATGTATCTTCTGGTATAGGTACTCTTAAGCGGGTCAGGCCATTTGTTTCAATGTACACTGCAATTAAAATATACAAAGGTTTTATCGAGCTACACTTCGATTATTGCAGCGCTGTATGGGATGGCTTGACTCAACAGCTTAATAGAGAGAAACTTCAAAAACTTCAAAATCGTGCTATCAGAGTTATCACCAAATCTAGCTATGATACTAGTTCCCGACTTCTTCTTAACTCGCGGTTATTAACTCGGGCTGCGCCCTCGGGCAACGCACGAGGGGAATAAATCACACACATAACCCCTCGCTTCAGGCCGATAACCCTTACTTACAGTGGCGCTCTTCTATGGAACAATCTTCCTGAGGAAATACGTACATCAAATTCCTAAGGTTTCTTTGAGAGAAATTCCCATAGATGGTTTTCTGATCAGTACTCCCACACGGCAAATCATGTACTAAAACAGTTTTTAAGAATTTTTAATTGATTTTCTATGTTAGACTGTTGTTTTTAACCGTGTACAAATAAAGTTATCATTCATTCATTCATTTTATACAACCATTAATAGCAACCATCCAACCATTTACTGATGCTTCTTCAAGCATTTGTTAGATGACCGATATCGTTGTTGACGAAAATAGAGACGAACCCTAAAAATCCAGTGTAGATTGAAAAACTTCAAAGAGACATTTTCCCGTTACTCCATGCCATACTAAAATATCGTCGGGTTTCTTCAAGTTGACGCAGGTGACGTTAATCGGTGGTTCAACTATATGAAATTTGCCCACATATTTCGGTTTCACGCCTGCTTTTTCTGCAAGCATACCAATGTAAACATCGTCAATTTGAAACCAAGGAACAACGGCATATAAATCCACAAACAGATGAACAAGATCAGAAGACAAAACAATTCCGTATCCAGAACAGAAGTCGGGATAGAATTTATGTTTATAATCTTTAAAGGAAACTTTCCATTTTCCTTCTCTTTTCACATAGGGCCCCTTGGGACAGTGTCCCATGTATAGCTTTTCTTTAGGAATTTCAGGCTTAGCAAGAACTGAAATCAAACTTTTAACGTTAACAAATGTGTCGTCGTCCATTTTTAAAAGAAACGAAAAATTACAGTACAAGGAAGCCCACTCAAACGCCATTTGTATCTTAAGGGTCTGATTCCAATAATGTTCGTAGTAGTCTGCGCGTATAAGGTCTCTAAAGCTTTCATCTTCTTTTAACAGTGCTTCTGATTCCGTTTGATTTCGCGTTTGAGCAACAAGAAAAAATGTCTTCCATCGCTGGTTTAGAGCGCTGTCAACCCCCCACGTTAAGCGGATATCTCTCCTTCTCCGAGCATTAAAGGGTGCGGATGAGACCAATACTAGAAGAAAGTAGGGCCGCCCACAACTGGTCGTGGTTATCAGGGTTGTCTTGTGCTGCAGTAGTTTTTCATTTGATTGCTTCGTGGAAAATAAATTTGTCGGCGAACTCACATTTGGCTTTAGTATCGCTAGCTCTTGCAATTTTCTATATTCTTGAACACGGTACGAGCGTGAAAAGGTCGACTGGATATCAAGTGACATACGCCAGCATAAAAAACCACCAAGCGCTAGCAATATAAAGGTGACTGTTTTCAGAATCCGTCTGTGGATCAGTAGCAACATGGCCCTCTTCTGAAGGACGAATGGCGTGGCCTAGCAGTTTCAAACACCTGAAGAAAAGAAATTCAAAATTAAAGAATATAAGAACGAATTACTCTGGGTCAATCTAAAACTGAAGAGATCAGGAGACATGCATGACTGAAACAATGTTCGAGTGGCAGACAAGTAGTGTATGGGTAAATAGATCTAAAAGATTTTCTTGATTCAGTGATTCTCGAGTGTCTCTAGGAGTGTTTGGAGACTCAAAGTGTCTAGAGGCTCATTGTTTCATCTTTGTGGAAAAAAAAATGTTGTGATCTTTCCTCTATATCTTTGTTAATGGCGACGGATAGGTAAATTTTCAAACTTGGGAGGTATCGAGCCACCTTAAAAGAACATGTGCTGTTTTGTTATTCTTTTGTTATTTAATGAGACACAAAAAAGAGCATGATCTGTTTTTAGTCTGTAATCCCTCAGCTTAGTGGATAAGCTGGGCTCTCATGCTAAGTAAATATTTTATATTTTGCCACTGAAGTTTTAGTATTTTTGAGGTCAGAAGCCGTACCTATGTTCACGTCTTCTTTAGGCTTTTGTTGGTTAAGGTTTTAGCCGGATTCACAAAGAAATTACAATTGGGCTATATCTAAACACTGTAGACTGAAAATGCTTGAAAAGGTAAATCTGAAATGAATAATAAATCATTCCAGTTATAATTAATTGTCAACTCCACGTCGATTCAGTGCTTCTTACTTAAAACGTTTATGCTTCTCTGTGGGGATTAAACATAGACTTTGAACAGAACTAGTGGGGAAAGGATGTTTTACTCCTTTTATTTGTGGAATTAATTAATTTTTTAGGTGGCCTAAATTAACGCCGATGACGTCATACACCTCATTAAGATAGGATGATGTCATATTTTATTTTCAGTTGGCAAGGAGCAAGTGACGTCAGAATACCCAAGAGGTTGACGTCATCAAAATAATGTTGAGATCATAATCTATAAATAGAAATAGTGTATGACATCATAGACTAAAATAAATAGCATGACATCACACTAAAAATAGATTGGGACATCATCAGCTATTTATTATCTGAATGGGACTACATGGCGTCAATTACAGCATACTTAAAATAGATAAAACGATGTCATTAAGATAATTTTAGTAAAAAAGACCTCAATGGTTTATTATAAAAATATTGTAAAATGTCGAGGTAGCAGTGAAAGACGTTTATTTTTTCCCGCAACAAAAAAGCTTGAAATCATGTTTAAGACAAATCAAAGTGGGCGTTTGATGGTGGATGAAATTGAAGTTGAAGCACAACTGTTGCGAAACAAGATAGCTGACATTATAGAGGAGGTTTAATTTATGTAACACTGAAGTTAAAAGTTTGGTTCATCATGAATTACAACAAAGGTGTGAGGGTTGTGAGATGGATGACCTTCTCAACTACACCATGATTGCCTAACGATGGATGAAGAAGAGATTTGGGTTCGCTACTGCGAAAAAACAAGGAACGTTTGAGTATCAAGTTGTTATGGTTGAAAACACAAAAGTGTACATTAGAAAAACTTAATTTGCAATTGAACAAGGCATGGATGGACTACTTATCACATCCCTTCATGATGAATGAAACAAGTATATTTTTTTATCTATAAGAACTTTGTAAGGCGAGTGGAAGAAGAAGAATATTTTAAAGCTCTTGACGAATATTTTCTTGAAACCCGCGTGCTTGCACGGTTAAAACCTTCTTCACTGGGCAGGACGTTTGTTCGCAGTCGATAATTATCTTGTTTGGTGGTTTTCAGATGGTGGTGTTGGAGGAGGAAAACAATAGATATGAGGCAGGTACAAAAGTCGGACCGGATTAACTCGGACCGCCAGTCCGGGTCGGATCAACTCGGATCGACTCAGACCAACTCGGATCGAATAAAAAATTAAAAAATAAAATAAAATAAGACTCGGATCAACTCGGAGCAATCAAAATAATTAAATTAAAGCAGCAAAACTGAAAGTTTAACCCATTTGGAGGGTAAAAAAGGCCAGATCATCCTTTTTTTCTCCGTGGCTTTCAGGCGCCATTTTGTTTTACTAGTGCCAGTTCCTCTCGGATTATGTTATAAACTCGTGGTTGTGGTTGCGTTATACGACGCGCTCTGCTTCACAGATATGGATGACCTCGAGGAAGGTAAAATCTCGACCATCTTTCTCAATGAATTTGCTTCATTCCAAGAAAATGATAGTTTCAGTCGCTTAGAATATATATTTGCTTATTTT